ACCGCGACGCCTTCCTGGCACGCACGCGTCCAATCGCCCCAGTTAGGCGCGCCAAAAAGCGGACAGTGCCTGATAATATCTGTAAACAATACCGCTAGACCACTGCCGGATAAAAGTGTTATGGTTGGAACAAAATCATGATGCGGAAACGAACGCTAATATCTTTTCCAGAAACACGTTGTCGGATCGCTGTTTCGTAGATTAGAAAAAAATCTGGACTAGTTATGTATGGATTTGAGCATTCGCAAAATTTTTTAGAATGCCACAAGGGAAACCATTGCGACCAATTAAATTAAATTACGTCATTGCTAGAGCAGGTTTAGATCTACATGCCTTGGCAGAGCATTGTTGAATCCGGGGCTTCCCCCCGCGTTTCGGTTTACAACACCAATCGCATTTGCATTTTTGGTTGACGTTGTCGCACGTTGATTTTACACCATTACGATATTTTAGCATTTAGTCCTACCGATCTGCAGCATATTTTTATCAGTCGTAAGATTTCGCACTCTTTGAGAGGGGGAGTTCTGCTTCTCAACCCACTTATAATACCTAAAAATTCAATTTTAATACGTCGTTTCATTTTATTTAGTTTGTGGCCCTAAAGAGGGCCGTTGGGTTGGGTATTTGGTTGAACAGAAGCTCGACACTTGGAAGTAGATTTAATGGCAAATCTATTCCTTGTCTCCGGCAGTCTTCTTGGGCAGGAGAACAGCCTGGATGTTGGGCAGCACTCCTCCCTGGGCAATCGTCACACCCGACAACAGCTTGTTCAGCTCCTCATCGTTGCGGACAGCGAGTTGAAGATGACGGGGGTTGATGCGGGTCTTCTTGTTGTCACGGGCAGCATTGCCGGCCAATTCGAGAACCTCGGCAGCGAGGTACTCAAGAACGGCGGCCAAGTAGACCGGGGCTCCGGCTCCGACGCGTTGAGCATAGTTGCCCTTGCGGAGAAGACGGTGCAGACGACCAACGGGGAATTGGAGTCCGGCTCGCACCGAGCGAGACTTTTGCTTGCCACCAGTCTTGGCCTTGCCTCCCTTGCCACGTCCAGACATGTCGAGTTGAGTTGGGTTCTTCGGTGAAGATGGGAATGGGGTGCTGGGGGTCTGCTTATATAGGCTCTGGGGCGAGGGGCGGAGCTTCGGGTAGCACCCAAGGCTACTCGACTCCCCCTCCTCACTGACCCTATGTTCCCACCTTTACTTACAGTTCACCATCCAACCCAACAAGAAGGAAAATGGCCCGCACGAAGCAAACCGCCCGCAATCGACCGGAGGAAAGGCTCCTCGTAAGCAGCTTGCCACGAAGGCTGCTCGCAAATCTGCCCCAGCCACCGGAGGTGTCAAGCAAGAAGCCCCATCGCTTATCGCCCTGGAACCGTTGCTCTGCGTGAGATCCGTCGCTACCAAAGTCGACCGTAGCCTCTCACCGCAAGCTCCCCTTCCAGCGTCTCGTTCGCGAGATTGCCCAAGACTTCAAGACTGATCTCCGCTTCCAGTCATCGGCTGTTATGGCCCTTCAGGAGGCTTCGAGGCTTACCTGTCGGTCTCTTCGAAGACACCAACCTGTGCGCCATCCACGCCAAGCGTCACCATCATGCCAAAGGACATCCAGCTGGCTCGCCGTATCCGCGGAGAGCGTGCCTAAGAAGTTCTGAAGCTTGATCCTTCAAAACAACCACCCAACCCAACGGCCCTCTTTAGGCCCAGCATCCCAATGATTAAAGTTATAGCTTGGCCTGGGATTATGCGCCAAGGTTAATAAAAATTGGCGTAACTGTTATAAAATAAGTGATAGCTGAGGGCTTCGCGACTATTTTGGCAGACAGCATTTTCGAATCTGAGCGGAGTTCACTTGGCCTAAGGTTCCCGTTCTTACAACGCTTACATAATTTATTCTTAAAAAGGGGTATACTAGATTTCTACATTAATCGTCTAATTTCCAGCAAGCCCAGAGAATATATATCCTTCAGCGTTTTTGGGGCTTCCTTCCGACTTCGGACCAGGCACAACTGATAAATGACAAAATTTGCATATTAGCGTTCCACCGATATTATTCATTTCGCTATCTCCCGTCATCCCGTTACAGCAATCATTTTTGTGCCAGTCATTAATGTACTCCTTGCCGGCCCCCTAATTGTTTGCTGTTTGGGCTTGACCCAGTCCCGGGCCGCCACTGGGACAACTTGGCGCCAAAAATGTCTGTTGGCTCCCTGCCAGAGGCGTCCCCTCCGACCCCGGGCCATCAACCCCAGGAGTTAAATCGATATAAACGCAAAATAAGTAAACGAAAGACCCTAATTTCTAAAAAAAACGACATCTGCCAAATACAGAGACGTTCGACTTTATGCATTTTGCCTGCAGCCCACAATATCTTCGCAGACTTTCATGTTTCTAAAAGCAAAAAGTTCTGCAGAAGAGCTGTTCGGCGGGCGGAAACGAATCAAATCATAAAATACGTCCCAGAAAATTCAAAACCCAAAAAAGCCGGGAAAAGCGGAATTCGCACGGCGGCTTTTCTTGTTGCGGCAACCGATTTTTTCATGAATTTAAATATTTGGAGGCTTTCTTGGTCCTAATAATTGGCATTGTTTAAATAATGCGCCGCTGATGCCTATCAAACTCTCGTAAATAATTTTCTTCCTAAGATCCAGGATCAGGTTGCGTCGATCTCGCTCCTATAACATCGGACCACCGGCATAAGTTGACGCGCGATCTCGATACCCACCACCGCAGTTATGCGTCTTTCGGAAATTTTTATGGAACTTTGCTAGCAATTTTTTTTGCATTCCGCGGCTTTTTTACGATAATTAGAAATATTTTATTTGAGTGTGTAGCCCTAAAGAGGGCCGTTGGGTTGGGTGGTTGGTGTTGGCAATGCCAGCCAAGTTGTCATTTCAGTATCACTCGATCCAAATATTTATTTGGACGAAGTGTACTTGGTGACGGCCTTGGTGCCCTCAGAGACGGCGTGCTTGGCCAATTCTCCGGGGAGAATGAGGCGGACGGCCGTCTGGATTTCGCGAGACGAGATCGTCGACCTCTTGTTGTAGTGGGCCAGACGAGAAGCCTCCGAGGCGATACGCTCAAAGACGTCGTTGACGAACGAGTTCATGATGGACATGGCCTTTGAGGAGACACCAGTATCGGGATGGACCTGCTTGAGGACACGGTAGATGTAGACGGAGTAAGACTCCTTGCGGGACTTCCTCCTCTTCTTATCTCCGGTACGGGCGGCCTTTTGGGACTTTCCGGCCTTCTTGGCTCCCTTGGCGGACGGCTTGGGCGGCATATTCGACGAGTTTCGAGCAATTGATGCAAGATGGGGTAGGGGTTAAAGTGGCGACTTATATACCACTCTAGAGGGGTGTGGTGGGCGGAGTCGCGGCCTCTCGGGGCACTACGCGCGGCTCCGCCCCGGGGATTGGCGCCAAAACCCATCTGCCTCAACCCTATATAAACCCCCAGCCCACACCATTCCCCATCTCATCGAATCAACACTTCGAAGAATGTCTGGACGCGGCAAAGGAGGCAAAGGACTCGGAAAGGGAGGTGCCAAGCGCCATCGCAAGGTTCTCCGTGACAACATCCAGGGAATCACCAAGCCGGCTATCCGCCGTCTTGCCCGTCGTGGTGGAGTGAAGCGTATCTCTGGCCTCATCTACGAGGAAACCCGTGGTGTCCTCAAGGTGTTCCTTGAGAACGTCATCCGTGACGCCGTCACCTATTGCGAGCACGCCAAGAGGAAGACTGTCACCGCCATGGATGTCGTCTACGCCCTCAAGCGTCAAGGCCGCACCCTTTACGGATTCGGAGGATAATTCTATTGACTTCTCCAGTCTCGGCATTCAAACAACCAACCCAACCCAACCCAACGGCCCTCTTTAGGGCCACAAACTTAACAAAAATAAAAACCAGAATTACACTTGTGTTTTTGGGTTTTAAAAGAGAGGCTTATCTCGTAGCATTTTGGCGGCAGCTCGGCCTGGCACTTGGGTTAGGGCTTTGCTGCGCAGGGCAGTCGTATGGATTGATGATGGTAAATGTGTGATGCGTCGAAACTGAAAAGACGACCAGACGACATTTGGCATCCAGCATCCTGATGACTGATTAAAAGTTTGGTCGGTATGAATAGCGAGAACCTAGCATAATGTCGTTAGTAACGTCACGAATGTCTTTATTCAAAAAAACCAATTGAAAACACGTATGCCAAAAACACAATCACCAAAGAAAACTCGGATCGCAATGCTCGCGAGGTCGTCAGCGTCCCAAACGGAGTCGAACTAACGTTAGGTACTGGCCTGGTTTGATTTGCGAAAAAGACCCGCACGAAGTAGCCCCTTCTAGCGTGGACGGTTTTCAAGTTTTCGTGCTGGTAAATCTGAACAACTTTGAACGCCCGACACATAGTTACGACCACGGTAATGTTAGTGATTTGTTCCGCTTTTTCTTTTGTTGCTGGTTGCGTTGCGTTGAAATGCCTGGAATTTTAAGGTGCTTGCTTTTGGGAACCGACATGTGTTCGATCGTTCCGTCAGCATGCGTAAAGAATATATCCATATTTGCATTCACCAAATCAACCAATTCGAGTTCAACGTCGACCGGATCACCTGAAGCGAGATCCACCGGAATTTTTTGACGGGTGCAGGATAAATTTTTACAATTAATGACACCGAAAGTTGTATTCGAATTCGGTTTCGCAATGCGATTTCGACCTACAAATCCAGGTCACCTTCTGCAAGGTTCCCAGGTGGTTGCGGAGTGGAGCCGAGCTGTATGCAGGGGTGACGACGAAGCGCATACCGCTGCATTCTGTGGAGTCGAGCTGCTCGGTTGTAACCATATCTCAAATTTGATTTTGCAATCGGTGCAAAGATTTATCGGAAGATTACCTTCTCTTCCTAACGAAACTGTGGGCGTGCAGCCTGCGGGGATTTCCAATGTAAAAGCGCCCGAGAAAAGCCATTGTGGGTAGAAGATGTCAGAATTCCTGCAAAAAGTTTTTACATGCAATTCCTTAGTTCATTTTAGCCAAAAGCGCGTAAAGATTGCTTTTAGTTGGTCGAAAAGAATTTTGCAGCACCCACTAACTGATAATTACCTGAACGTAGCAAAAGGTTTTGATACGTTTCGGGTCGTGATGAATCCAGGATACAAATTGTACTCGCAATCGATGACGCTGTGCGGCTGTTAAGTTAACTTTGATTTTTAACTGATTTCATACCCATAAGATCGACTTCAAAATCGTAGAATGTATATCCTGATGCAAAGGCCCGTCAGTTTTCGGGCTTATTACAAAACCTGGGAGGTTGATTCCCACAAAGATCGTCTTGTTCGTCTCCGGAACTAATCTACCTAACGGTTGTTCCTTGTTGAAATACCTCTAAACGCGAGCTCATCATCTTCATAAACATTGTACGGCAGATGGATGGTGAGATCCTCAACTAAAGGATTCGCAGTGGTAATCAAAGTCGAGTTTAATAAATTCCTTTAACGGGCGTCTGGCAGCAATTTTCCACATGTGAAGCGTCGCGGGGTGGTGCGGGGAGGGAAAGAGGCGCCCGGAGGAGAAGCGGAAGAACTCTGCGTCCGCCCCAAAATGCCGTAACGGTGTGCTGCAGGCATCGCCAGACTAACCGTCGTCGAACAGCTGCACGGCAAACGTGACCACCGCACCATTGGTGAAATAGGTAAAGTTATAAAAATCGAGACTTATGGAAGTTCCGTTTGTCACGTGCACGTGCTTCGTGCAACAATTTAGAAACCTCGTCGTCAAGTCTGCCCTACAAGAATACATCTTAACTTTATTCAAAAAAATTAAGAAAAACGTTTGAATTACGGTGTAGGGAGAATAGAAATTTATGACAAATGCCTCTTTAGAAATAAATGAAAAATGCCAGAGTTTCTACGTTCGATCTGATTCACATACCGAGACGTGCAATTAACAAAGTTGACCGCCCCTTGTGATGGTTGGCTGGAATAGTCAAGGCTACAGATAGTCAGCGTAGCGCGGTGCTCCTGCGTCAGCTCCTCGAAACGCGCCACAAATCGTTGCCTGGCAAGGTGGTTAAAGTCCACTTGATTTTTTTTGCGGCTCAAGCTTGCTTTTTTTTCGGATTGGAAGAAATATTCACCTCCAAATTTTATAAAATCAGGCCACGCTGCAGGATGGTTCAGTTTTCTAGAGTGCGCTCCCGGACAAGCCCTTGGGGTACGCTGGGCGGCTCGTTACACTATTTACTATTTACACACTACGCTATTTGCATGCGAACTCGAGAAAATGCGCGTGAAAACTCTCCTCAGTGCATTCGACGCTCCGAATCTTCCCCCAGAAACTGAATGTGGACAAAACGACTAAACCGCGGGGATACCCCGGGGTCGCGCTATAGAAAACTGAATGACCCTATACCGTGGAAAGATTTTATGAACTTGGGAGGTGAATCTTTCTTTACCCCCCCTACATCTGGTCCACGCTTCTCAGCGTTGATTTCACAGCAAATAGCCACATGCGACCGCAACGCGAGCACGCCGCGCTGCTATATGCTGATCTTTTGCCCCTGCTTGTGCGTGAAAAGGCTTCAAATTAAAAAATTTGGGCGCTATTTCTGGAATCGTCACCGAATTGTGATCATTCTAGATTTTTAATTATGAAAATGGATTAGAGAATCACCGAGATCGAGAAATTGCGTGCCATACAAGGCATTACGACATGTAATTGCCGGGCACTGAAAAATCGTTTTCGCCCCCGAGAATATTTCGGTTTTACCCAAATATTTTTTTTCGCATTGAAATCACTTTTCTGACACTTCTTGGTAGGAACCCTTTGGTTTTTTTGACCAGCAGGTTCAATCCCCGCACGCGTGCATTTTGACTTCCGAACCCTTTAATGAATTTATATCCAAACCTTACATAGGATCGATGATATCTGCCAGATTGAACATATAACTGGATTCTGCCGTCGTAATGGAAACGATCGCATCGCCAGTCATGGCAAGTGCGGTCTCGGTGGAGATCCGAAATCCTGTACGCAACGGTTCACCAATCGGAGACGTATAATTGATCTGGGAAAGAATATTATATTGAGTAGGTGTTTACGTACACGAGTAATTATCCTCCCAAACGGAAATTTTGTGCCCGACTCGGCGCTGGTGTATCTAAAGACTGCACGACTGGACAAAGCAGCGATAAATGCCTGTTGGTAACGTTGTCGAACTGCTCATTCCGTGACTCTATCACTAATTCCCCGCTTTCTATCACGTCTATTGTCAGTATTTTGCACACATCGCCACTGACTTAAACCGCTAGTGGTTGGGGAAATCCAAACCCTTACATCCGACTCCAATCGTCGCAACGGGGAATAAATCCTGATCTTCCTCAAAAATCCAGGGATACTTGTAGCTGGATAAATGCGTCGGTGTGTACCGAGCAAGGGTCAAATAAACCTTATCTGGAAAGAAATCATGCTGGGAGAGACTTTCGTGATTACCTAGTCTCCAGCTAGTTGCGTCCGATCTGAGGGCAATAGTGCCTCGGGCGTTGCGGTTAACCAAGGTGGTGACCGCTGAGAAGGTCAAAAACGTTGATATCTTGACACTTGCACTTAGCGGAACATATTGAAACTTTTTTTATCAGGCGCCCTACTCGATCCTTCCGGCAAAGTTCGTCTCGCTGTAGCCCGGGTCGCCACCATAATACGCCTCGACAAAGGTGGTGTCGTTTGTGAATTCATGAAATTGGAACGAGCTGATGGTGACGGTGTTTATATAATTGCCACTAATATAATTGCTTTGCGGTGATTTTGGGCATCCGACTTACATGACCATTGGCGGAACAAAGGTCAAAATGCTTCCTGGCATCAGCCAAGTGGCTGCACCGCATAGTCGTTCCGACGGCTCGGAATAGGCCATCAAAAAGTATTTATGGTTTACTGAAATATGTGGCTCATGGTTTCCCAGCTGCCTCGACACTTACCGTCGACCCATTCAAGTACCCTGATCGATACGGCGAATGCCTCCGGTGGACTGTCGATGTTTCTGAAGACAATCTCCACTTCACCGGTCCGGACCTCCCAATAGCATTGCGATTGAATGTACATGAAAGTCGTACATGACGGCCTGAAAAGAAATCACATTTCCGGTCAACAAAAATTTGATACCAAACCATCGTGCATCCACGCTGGTCAGGCGCCTCTCTATCAATCAAAATTGGAATTTCGTCGTAGCATCGAATTGCTGGATTCTAGAAAAATAGTTTTTTAACTATCTAGTTATTAAGCAGCTAATTTAGTAATTTGACGTACTTTTCCATCACCACCCGTATCGGTGCAATTAGGCTTCGAATAATCGATAAGCAGCGTGCACCCTTCGCACCCAACTACCGTGATGCTCTAAAACGCTCTTTTCCACTTGGGGAACCCTAAAGCACCTGTTTCCATTCCAAAACATTCCCATCCAATGCATATGACGGATTATCCTTTGTCAATTGAAATAGTTTTCGGTCCAAAAAGCACAGCGCGAGCCGTAGTACGGCAATGAACACCAAAAAGCAGATGATTTTTCATCGGAGACGCTTTGAAACGTTGGGACCACTTCGAGTGTGGCAAGCGCACAAGAAGTGTCGTGGATGTGCCGATAAGAAAAACGCAGGGATGAGGAAATGTTTGCGGAAAAACGCCCGCCTTACATCAGCTTATCAAAGCTCTAAGCGCATAATATCACTTGAGCCGCCGCTTCGGAGCCATGTTTGGTGTGGAAACCGGAATAGGTATTTGGGCTTATATGATCAGGGCCAGACAACGACCATCAAAAAGTTTTTAATAAGATACCAAAATGATTGCGAGTTAGTTTTTGGTTTTATTCGTTCGATGTCCCTCATAATGCCAAATTCAGTTTTTGTGACGTCAACTTAATGAAAAGAAGATCCATCATGGCGCACCTTCTCCAATGAGCTGATCAAATGCCGACAAACGGGCTTTGAATTGCTTAGCAGCGGCAATAAATGAAAAATTAAAATAAAGTGCAGCTGGTGGCGAGATATGTAACTAACTGTCACTTTTAATATTTCAGAAGTAAACTCTTAACCCGTTATTTTATTGTATTTAGATTGTGGCCCTAAAGAGGGCCGTTGGGTTGGGTGGTTGGTTGAGTAGAAGCTCGACACTAGGAAGTAGATGTCTTTTCAGAGATCTATTCCTTGTCACCGGCAGTCTTCTTGGGCAGGAGAACAGCCTGGATGTTGGGCAGCACTCCTCCCTGGGCAATCGTCACACCCGACAACAGCTTGTTCAGCTCCTCATCGTTGCGGACAGCGAGTTGAAGATGACGGGGGTTGATGCGGGTCTTCTTGTTGTCACGGGCAGCATTGCCGGCCAATTCGAGAACCTCGGCAGCGAGGTACTCAAGAACGGCGGCCAAGTAGACCGGGGCTCCGGCTCCGACGCGTTGAGCATAGTTGCCCTTGCGGAGAAGACGGTGCAGACGACCAACGGGGAATTGGAGTCCGGCTCGCACCGAGCGAGACTTTTGCTTGCCACCAGTCTTGGCCTTGCCTCCTTGCCACTGTCCAGACATGTCGAGTTGAGTTGGGTAGAGTCGAGTTGACTATGAGGATTGAAGGGGATAGGGGTCTTTTTATACCTACTAGAGGGTGGAAGGGCGGAGTCTCGCGTAGCCCGGGGGGAGTGTCTTCCTAGGTCACCAAATCCCGCCTCCGCCCTTTAGACTGGCATATAAGGCCCCAACCTAGCCAGTATCCCCATCTTGCATCAATTGCTCGAAACTCGTCGAATATGCCGCCCAAGCCGTCCGCCAAGGGAGCCAAGAAGGCCGGAAAGTCCCAAAAGGCCGCCCGTACCGGAGATAAGAAGAGGAGGAAGTCCCGCAAGGAGTCTTACTCCGTCTACATCTACCGTGTCCTCAAGCAGGTCCATCCCGATACTGGTGTCTCCTCAAAGGCCATGTCCATCATGAACTCGTTCGTCAACGACGTCTTTGAGCGTATCGCCTCGGAGGCTTCTCGTCTGGCCCACTACAACAAGAGGTCGACGATCTCGTCTCGCGAAATCCAGACGGCCGTCCGCCTCATTCTCCCCGGAGAATTGGCCAAGCACGCCGTCTCTGAGGGCACCAAGGCCGTCACCAAGTACACTTCGTCCAAATAAATATTTGGATGTTTGTGATACTGAAATGACACTTGGCTGGCATTGCCAACACCAACCACCCAACCCAACGGCCCTCTTTAGGGCCACAATCTAAATAAAATATTTCTAATTATCGTAAAAGAAGGCGGCGGAATGCAAAAAAATTTCTAGCAAAGTTCCATAAAAATTTCCGAAAAGGCCAAAACGCAATAACTTATGCTGGTGGTCCGATGTTATCCGAGATCGACGTCAAGCCTGACCCTGGATCGGTTTAGGAGGAAGAAATACTTGTGCGTCCTGCACCTTCAAATAGCGATTTATTTACGAGTGTTTGATAGACATCAGCGGCGAATGATTTTAATAATGACAATTATTAGGACCAAGAAAGCCTCCAAATATTTAAATTCATGAAAAAATCGGTTGCCGCAATAAGAAAAGCCGCCGTCCAAATTTCGCCTTTCCGGCTTTTTTGGGTTTGAATTTTCTGGGACGTATTTTATGAAATTTGATCCTTGGTTTCCGCCTACCAAAGCCTCGTTCAATAACTCTTTTGCTTTTAGAAACATGAAAGTCTGCGAATATACTGTAGGCTGCAGGCAAAATGCATAAAGTCGGACGTCTCTGTATTTGGCAGATGTCGTTTTTTTAGAAATTAGGGTCTCTCGTTTACTTATTTTGCGTTTATATCGATTTAACTACTGGGGTTGATGGCCCGGGGCCGGAGGGGACGCCTCTGGCAGGGGGCCAACAGACATTTTTGGCGCCAAGTTGTCCCCGTGGCGGCCCGGGACTGGGTCAAGCCCGAACAGCAAACAATTCGGGGGCCGAGAAGGAGTACACTAATGGTCGGAATGAAAAGGTTTGCCAGCTTGTCCATAAATAGCGAAACGAATATCAAATCTACTAACGGTTTATTTCGAAAATTCGGTAGATTGCTGATGAGCAAATTTTGTCATTTATCAATTCGGTAAGAGTTTACTTTACCCCCCCCACAGCCGAAGGGTCTCAAAGTTTTCGGTATTTTCGCATTGTTTGTCGGGATTTTCGCAACGCCATTCGATAGAGCGTCAAAAAATATACTAAGAGTTTTAATTTGAGCCTACAATAATGTAAAATAAAAAAGTTGTAGCCAACAACTTCCGGCTGGGGGTAAAGTAAACCGTAGCCATCAATTCTTCCAAGTCCCTAGCCGAAATGAAACCTAAAAAGTGTTGAAATATTTGCTCCATATCAAGATAAAATAAATTTATTAAATTTTCTTTTAAGACACTAAATATGAATTACATGTCCACTTTACAAGTCAGTGAAATCCGTTAAAATCTGAGTATACGGCCTTCTGAAACCACCCAGCATTCTGCCAGCGTTTATATTTTAGCGGGTTCACTAATTTCGATAACTTTTATTAAATGTGTCGTTTAATCCTTTTTTTCTGAGTTGCATTCCAGTCTCGCCTTGAATGCAAAAATACAGCGTACGCCTTGTTAATAATAAATTATTCCAGGGTTTTAAGAACCGGAACTTTTGTGAAGAAAACTCACATTGGAGCTCCTGCTTGTCGAAACAACCACAACGTACAAAGCACCAGTTTTATCACTTTCACAAATTTTTTGTAAGACAAGTTATAATTTTCAATTATTGAATTGTGGCCCTAAAGAGGGCCGTTGGGTTGGGTGGTTGTTGTGAAGGATCAAGCTTCAGAACTTCTTAAGCACGCTCTCCGCGGATACGGCGAGCCAGCTGGATGTCCTTTGGCATGATGGTGACACGCTTGGCGTGGATGGCGCACAGGTTGGTGTCTTCGAAGAGACCGACAAGGTAAGCCTCCGAAGCCTCCTGAAGGGCCATAACAGCCGATGACTGGAAGCGGAGATCAGTCTTGAAGTCTTGGGCAATCTCGCGAACGAGACGCTGGAAGGGGAGCTTGCGGATGAGAAGCTCGGTCGACTTTTGGTAGCGACGGATCTCACGCAGAGCAACGGTTCCAGGGCGATAACGATGGGGCTTCTTGACACCTCCGGTGGCTGGGGCAGATTTGCGAGCAGCCTTCGTGGCAAGCTGCTTACGAGGAGCCTTTCCTCCGGTCGATTTGCGAGCGGTTTGCTTCGTGCGGGCCATTTCCTTCTTGTTCTCGGGATGAGATATCGAATGGTAGTTTCAGAGGGTTTATATACCAAGTGGGCGGGGCTTAGTGACCTGAAAGCGCGGGAAAGTTGTACCCTAGGCTACCGGGTGACTCCGCCTACTGTTGGAATCGCGGCAGGAACGCCCCTCCCCACCCTATATAAACCCCCACCCCCAACCATTCCCCATCTCATCGAATCAACACTTCGAAGAATGTCTGGACGCGGCAAAGGAGGCAAAGGACTCGGAAAGGGAGGTGCCAAGCGCCATCGCAAGGTTCTCCGTGACAACATCCAGGGAATCACCAAGCCGGCTATCCGCCGTCTTGCCCGTCGTGGTGGAGTGAAGCGTATCTCTGGCCTCATCTACGAGGAAACCCGTGGTGTCCTGAAGGTGTTCCTTGAGAACGTCATCCGTGACGCCGTCACCTATTGCGAGCACGCCAAGAGGAAGACTGTCACCGCCATGGATGTCGTCTACGCCCTCAAGCGTCAAGGCCGCACCCTCTACGGATTCGGCGGATAATTCTTTTGACTTCTCCAGTCTCGGCATTTCACCAACCAAACCAAACCCAACCCAACGGCCCTCTTTAGGGCCACAAATTTATTAAAAACACAATAAAATCTACATTAGATTTTTAAATACCTGAAAACTACAATGACGCCCAGAATTTCGGCGCAAAATCTCCTTTGGCACTGCGCCAACGGCTTCCTGCGGGGTGTCTTTTATCGATTGATGGGGTCAAACGATCCAATGGAGTCGAAGCCTGTCATCATCGCGACACACACGAAATTACCAAAAATGTGGACCGTCTAGAAATAAGCAGTTTTAGGCATACGCTGGTTCACGACCCTAAAATATGCAAACTAATGCCTTAAATGGCGTTTAAATATTGACGAGGGTTTGACGCTCAGTAGCGTAACGAAAAATAAATTTAATTTGAATGGCGGCCCCTAGATGTTAATTGTTGATTTTTACATAGCCCCTAACTGTTAGTTTTGTTATCATTGGCATATCAAGCGTCCGGCATCTTTCGCTAGTGATTTTGTCTAGACCACGAGGTTTGCTGGCGGGCTTGGAGCGGTTTACAGCTGTAATCTGGATGGAAAACAAAGACCCAAAATGTACCCTAGCTGCAGTCAAGTCTTTCTTAAATCTTAGATTAACATATTGCTCCGGTGCTAAGCCGTGGTCTCGACCGACGCCATCTAAAGCTTGCTCGGGCCGATTTGAAACCCACACCGTACCTGTCAGTTGCTTCAATGCTCTGGCTCTTGACCTTTGCAACGCGAATCCTCTTGGTTACGCCATTTTTCGACCAAAAAGAATTCCATTTGACGAGGGTTACACCCTCTTACGCGCTGCACGGAACGGCCTTAGCTTGGAAGCAGGTGCGTCAGTTTAAGAGTTTTGGCATTTTTCCAGAGCATTAAAATTTTCGGCTGCGACGACTGTACCTTCGTCATTGATTATTCAAAGCCGGGCTGCAACGACACAACCGGGAATGGCGATGTGGGTGCAAAATGTACGGCTTGAAAGGCACCTCATCTAGAACCTGACAATTTTGTGTTATGATGATTTTCCTTTTCTGCTTGCTGGAAAAGTTCCGGATATATCCGACTGCACGCAAGCATGGTGATTTTTGGCCTTCCGAATACTATGTAGTTTTAATAGGTCCACTTGCCAGGATTTCCAGCAGTTCCATTTCCAATGCACTTGGACCGTACCGGGCCCGGGAACCGAGCTGTCATACCGATCTGAAGTGACTATCCCAGGAGATTATTTTGCCCTGTCGATCCGAGTGCAAGAGTGGGCCGTCGGTAAGCTAATAAGCCATTTAAGGTCAGCTGACATCCAGAGCCTGCGCGATCCCATTTATTCTCCACTGGTCCAGACGATGAGGACCTGTGCATCGATGACAGCAACGTGATCATCTTGCAGCCACTGACATCACTGACTTGCGTCTCTATATTTGACCCGTAGCGCTTATACCCTTAGCAAAATTGGAGAAATGTTCAGCGAACACTACAACAAGACGGTGCCGTTCAATTTATTCCGGATGGGAAGCCTTGCGGTAGCCGGTGCACTTTTGGACATCTATGCTGGCGGCATTCCCGGGAATGGGAATGCGAATTTTTTGGGTAGCGCTCTGTAAGAGATGCTGACCAAAATAACAAATGATATTTCTAGAACATCGCAGGAAGACCAGCAATATAATAGTTTTGATAGTGTCGTCACTTTCATGAACCGAGACTTCGCGGACAACGTTTTTATTGTGCCGTCGATGAGTGGCGATGACCCAGGCGAGAGTGTTTTCTTTTGGATAGCGCTTATTTAGACGATGTTTTCATCACTCCAAATCCGACAACGCCCACCCTGCTGAGCAGCTTCAAATATCCGTGGATTTTTGAGGAGGATCGGGAATTTTTTCCCGAAACGGTCATCGGCATCGACTGTAAGGCAATAATTGTACCGCTGAAAGCGACACGGCCAACCAGGGCGGACGCTTCCAATCATTTTATACATAGAAAATCAAATAATTATGCTAGATAACGAGATCCTTGGCACTTTGATGTCTCTCAACGCGCTGGATGACGGAATCCTTGAAGTCGGATTCACTGCTGATAATGAGAAAATTACCAGCAGCAAAAAGTAGGGAGTTGTTATATTTTGCTTGACGATGTTCAGCTACACATCAAAGAACGCAGGAACTAGCTACCCATTAAGGGAAAATATTAAGCAGGTACGCCCTAAAAATCAAACAGAATGCAATAACAAATAGCTAAAATTCACTCCGTCATCAAACAGCATCGATGGAGGTTTTCAACTAGTACTCTACGCACAAATTGATGTTATTGGAGGCCTAGCCGTCCCGCGGCTTTCTGGGCAGGACCCGAATTTTCTGCTGAACATCGCGGATATCGTTGGTACCGAATATTTTTTGTTATTTACAATCAGCGTTTTTACGGTACCCACTACGAATTCAATAAATTTACGGCAATGGTCGACAGATTGGATGCTGATACGAGCATCACGTATACTGTTTGCAGCCTTCATTCGAACAGCACGATGAAAGATAAGGCAGTCGATTATGAGGATTGCATGACGAGGTAATTTTATTCAATCACTTGAACATACCTTTCTACGTGTCTGCCGGGGAGCTCTTTTCGACACGACCTTTCCAGGGCCGACCTCATGACGCAAGTCTTGGATTGCTGCTCGAAGACGGGCGCTGCATCAAATGGCCAACAAATCGATTTTGACCTCCGAAATCTGACCGAATACTCCGGTGCCCCAGCCACCTTTTTAATTCGGTTACACCAAGAAGCGGAAAATGAAGGTCCATGACTACCACCTACAATTTCAATTTTCTAGAGCCTCCGCTTGTCTGGACCGTACCATATGATCCCTACGATCAAGACCAATTAGATTTTCGGGTTCCGCAATCCGAGCAAACAGTTTTTATGGCTCTAAGCCTGCCGACGATCGACCGGCACCTGTTTCGAAGCTCGAACATCAACAACAATTCGCTGCCTTACTTTACGTTGCTGAATGCTATAATTTGGGTTTGATTTTCGACGGCTAACGTGACGCCTTTTAGCCTCATAGTGCCAGTGAATGCAGCTACAATTTTTACGCGGGCATCGTCACCACCAAGGACGTTTCGAAGATGTTGGCAACTTTTAGGTGCGTGCTAAAAAGCTTTATATTTGATGCGTCGCCGCTCGCCCCGGATGTTTATTTTCTGTAACTTGTGTATGATTCATTTATTGTATGAATTTTTAGAAATATTTATCATTTCCAGAAGTTCTGACGTCTTCTACCCACAAATGCTCTTCAGCGGTTCGTTTACCGTTGAGATTCCGGCAAAGTGCCAGCCGACAATCTCTTTTAGACGAGAACGTGGGAGCTCTGATAACCAACTGTCACGACCATTTTTAGAGGCACTAAAAATTGATGAAATCACGAGAACTGAATGCACCGGAACGCGGCTGCTTGTGTCGCCAGGTTATAACAGCCCGCAGCTACGGCAAAATGGCATGTCGGCGCCCATTATAACCTGGAAGTGCAGTAAGTGATGGTCATAACGGCTTTCAATAATCAGATCCTGCGGTCGATATAATGTTTGAATTGGTTGACCTATTGGGCGCGGAATTTTCTGTCACTGTCAACGGATCCGACGGCATCTTCGTGAAGTTCTTTACCGGCCGTGACCGCTATCATTTATTCTTAGGAATTATACCGCTACCGAAGGGCCGATACATGACTTACTCAACTTCACTTCAGTCGAACAAATTAGCGTATGTATAACGAAACCGCCCATCAGCAATCTTTTACAGTTATGGCATAGCGCACGATACCGGAATGGTACAGCTCTACGTCATGGATACTTTGCAAAATTACATTTTCCAACCGCATTCAGCCCAGAAATTACGACCATGACAAGCCGGCTGACAGCAACCACGAACCTTGAAAGCATCGCATCGAGCCTTTATACTTTTATTGTGCCATTTGTTCTTCGAGCGACTTCTTTTCGTTGAAATCAATGTAATGAACGCAATAAAGTTTTTGCGTTTTCTTGAAAAAATCGACAATTTTTGCAATTTCGGGCCGACAACAAACCTCGCAAACTCGGCCTAAAAAAGCGAAATGCCAAACAATACACCTTGCGCCCTGCGAATTTTATGGATTCGCCACAACGCATGAGTTAATTTTGCACTTAAGCTGCTCAGAATGATTTGCTATCATAATCTCAAAAATCATAGTGTCGAGAGAGAGAGAGAGAGAGAGAGAGAGAGAGAGGGGAGGGAGGGAGGGAGAGAGCGAGATAGAGAGAGAGATAGAGAGAGAGCGAGAGAGAGAGAGAGAGAGAGAGAGTGAGAGTGAGGGAGCGAGAGAGAGAGAGAGTGAGTGAGAGGAAGAGAGAGAGCGAGAGAGAGAGAGAGAGAGAGAGAGAGAGAGTCGCCCCTGTGGCACGTACGTATCTGAATATCTGTTTTTAGAGGTGCCGAAGATTTCTATCCTCAGTTCCTCTTCACAGGCTCATTTACACTCGAGGTCCCGACCAAATGCAGACCTACAATATCCCTGATTGGCGGAGGTGACACGAGAAAATTATGGCTTGTTGATACCTAAGCCCTTAGAAATAATGAACGCTGCCGAAGTGATCTTAAGTGAATGCACGGGAATGCGGCCAGTTGTAGCTCCCGGCTACAACAGCTTAGAAATGTCTGCTGGCGCTTGGACGCCGATTGTAACGAGTTGGGCATGCAGTAAGTTTATGCTGTCAAAATCATTTTATCACGTAGACCCGTCCGTGGATATGGCGTTTGCACTCATCGTCCTTCTTGACGCGAAACTTTCCATGATTCTTGACACGCATAATGGTACTTTTGTTCGGTAACCAATCACGGCAGGCCACGACTAAAACTGTCTCTAGTAACTACACGCCATCAAAGGCCGCCCGCGACCTGATACGAATCACGTCCCTCTCGAAATAAGTGTATGCATTTTGCAAGAGATCGTTACCTAACGACGCCATGATAGATGGCGTATGAGGGATTGCATCCAAATGCCTCGGCGATGCGATACGGCTATTTTGTCAAGTTGCATTTCAAAGACCATCCGGCAACAACTTCAACGACGCTGGGGAGCCTAACAAGGAGACGTTTTCTAGTGTGAATGGAGTTTTAAGTTAATACCAGGCCTATTCTGTGCAGAATTTTGCGCTGATTCCGATGCTGGTTTCCAATTTTGCTAAATAGCTTGATTTAAAAAGTTACAGCTATTTTAAGATAATTTTTAGGCCCAGAGTAGCCATATGCTATGCTGTGCTACTTTTTTGTTATAACGTTTTAATTTTGTTTAAGTAGCCTATCTTGTCGAGAATTTTTTTTTCTGATTCGAATGGTATATTTGATTAGTGCGCTACTGCCGATCGACGATAGCTTACCGGGGTGAGAAATAGGCTGTTTTTCACCATTTCCCATACAAAAATCGCTGCCCATACCAAGTATCGTCGATTTTTTCGATTTTCAACAATTTTGAGTTAAATAGCTCATTCGATAGAGAAAATTTTTCTGAATACGGTGACGAGATTTATTTTTGGAAAAACAGCCGGGAAAAGCAACATAATGGTCCCTAAAGAGGGGAAAATTTGGGCTAAAATGATCTTAAAATTGCTATAACTTTTGAAATCGAGCTATTTAGCAGAAATGAAAAACATATTCGGAATCAGCGCAAAATTCTGCACCAAATAGGCCTGGTTTCCACTCAGAACTCCATTCACACCAAAAAACGTCTCCTTGTAAGCACAACCAGCGGTCGCGGTGGTCCGACTTTTTTTCATACCCCTTCACACGGTTTTTATACTCCGCAGCTTGTTGGTGTGATTGCGCTAAGTTATAGTGCTCAAATAAACAGTAGCCTATACGACGATGCATTTCATTAAGATAATTGTTTTAAGCGTCGTTGTCGCGGCTAGAAGCCGGACGGGGTCCGTGAACGCCAAAAATCGCGTTTTAAAATGCAACGTACGGCTCGGCGTTTGCTGACCGTCTCCGAGCAACAATCTTAAAACCTTTGATCCGACTCGCTCGTGACAAACACAGCAAGAGCATGTCGAACGCTACAAAGTGCGCCCAGGCCGGCTTTACGAACCGATAAGAATAACCCGCAGTTTCAGTTAGCAAAAACCCTAAAATATAACAATAATATTCTGGTTGAAATGAAACTTATCGTCATCACCATCGCCTGCCAAATCGATATTGTCGCCGCCCTACCGCAACCACTCTACATACCACAACTCACCCCGGGCGAGCCAGCTTTGCTAGTGAACCTGGAAGACGTCATACCATTGTTTTATTTTTATTTATTTATTCTGCGCACAAGGCGCCGTTGCACACGCAACGAGGTAAAAAAAGATCACAGTATGAGAAAAAAAAATCACAGAAAGGGGGGAGGAACCATTGAAAAAGAAAGGTGGAGGATGGGGGGTTTGTGACGACAAAGTGGACGATCCTTGGGCTGTTCTCCTGTCAGCATGGTGGTACTACCCCGTAGGGCATCCCGCTAGTGAGATCACTTTTTGCTTACTGGGAAGTCGAGCGTTGAGGATTTAGTTGGAGGGGAGGTCACATTGATAGGGTATAGGCGGGGTAGGTATTTAGGGGAACATACAGAAAGGAAATTGATAAACAAATATTGCCATTGGTGTAGGTGGTGACGGGCTGACGGACGGGGAAGGCCGCGGTGAAGCCGTTGCTTGAAAGGGTGTAGGTATGGATCAGTCGAGGATGCGGCTGTGCGTAGAGTTCATTCTAAAGCAAGAGGCCGGCAGGGCGGCGCTAGATTAGAGGAGAACCAAGAGGAGATGATCATATGGCTGGACGTGTACTAGTTCTTGGGATCAATTTTAAGAATTTGAAGTAGGTCAAGCTTGCGTAAACTCTGCCGGAAAGAATGGGGGCTACGCTGTGCCAGGATGCGAGGAGGGAGCAGGTTGAACCACCGGGTGATGCGGGAAGAGAAAGCGCATCTGCGGGCCTCAGTTCTAGCTTTGGGGACTTGGAAGAGCAGCCTCTTGTTTCTACCAAAACCCAATTTATAGGTAAAAATAGAGGACCGGGGGACGTGGCAGAGGCCATGGAGGATTTTGAAGCCCTGGGCGAGGTCGCTAGTTATGCGTCTGTGATGGAGGGTATGAAGTTTCAGGTGCTTCAATCTAACAGGATATGGTTGGGGCGGGAGGTTACAGCGCTGGAACACTATTCGTGTAAAGGTCTTCTGAATTTTTTCCAATTTATCACACCAGACCTTAGTCCGCGGTGACCAAATAGGCGAGGCGAACTCGACAATTGGCAGGACATAGGTCTTAAAACACTTGACGAGCAATGTGGGATCACGGATTTTTAAATTTCTGAGAAGGGAAAACATAGCACGGGACGCCTTAAGGTAACGCTGTTCAAGGGTCGGGTTGTTGAGAAGTCTATCAGTTACGATGATGCCAAGATCTCTAATTTGCGGAACACTGGAAAGCTGATGGCCATCCAATCGGTAAGCGTTTTTGGGATTAGAAACTCCAAGATACAATAAATGGCATTTCTCAATAGAGAAAAATAGACCACTAGAAGATTGAATATCACTTGTAAATTACAGCCGTAATTTTCAAATTTCAGCGGAACCCTGAAAGCGGACGTCACCGGACTGAATCGTGACACGAGGATAGTGTATAAGCTGTGTACGCTAGAGGCAAATGATGCATGTAATCTTCAGGCCGCAGAGTTTGGACCGTGCTCGTCTAGGTAAAGAAATTTCTGATATTCTTGAGACCCTGACAAGGGAACCACGTAAGGTTGAGGTGGCGTTTCGAAATAGGACCTAAATGACCCGGTGCAGAATTTCGCAACCCGTTTCAAAATTTTGCAAATCGGTCTTTTGAAAAGTTATAGTGTCTCAAAAATCCATGTCTTCGCAACTTTGCGAATTGCGAGTCATTTACTTTTTTAGTTTTCCCTGCAGATTTTTCAGAAACGAATATTGCCACGGCATTCAAAAAAGTTTGCGCTATCGGATCGACTTCTTAACTCAAAGTTTTCAAATCGAAAAACTGGCGATACTTGCTTATGGACTCCGATTGTTTATGGGGGGTGGCGACAAGCAACCCTATTCTTACACGATTAAGTGACCATCTAGTGCCAGTAATGTATTTATAAAAAAGATCATTCGAGTCGGAGCAAAATTCTCTACAAGCTGGCCGCCAAGAAACCCTAGTAAGATTTCAACAAAAAGGTCGAGCATGGTGATAGATGACGTCACGCGGGCTCAGATATGATCCTAAACGCGTCATAACTTTTTGAATCGGGCTATTTTGCATAAATTGTGAGCAGGTTCGGAATTAACAAAAAAAAATTTTGCGGCGGGGTAGGTGCCATTTCAAAACGCCACCCTAACCTTACGTGCTTCCCCTGTGGGGGCATTTTGAATGCTCGGTGCCGAAAAAAAGATTTTCAGTGGACCCGTGGGCCCGTTGGGCCTAAATTGCTGCGAGAAAACAGCGGTTGTCGCCAACGGTCAACAAATTTCTTTAGATATCCGGAATATGACGTCTCCGCCTCCTTCGTCGACCACGTTGGAAATACAGCTATACCAGGGTGCAGGTTTATTTCAAAAATTTCGCTTGGATTGATCGATTGGTAGAACTTGCGACGCTTTGGCCGATCGCGTTTGATTTTGAAAGGGACCAAGAGTTGACGTTTCGAGTTCCACAATTCTGGCAAAAATTTTCGTGGACTGTAATTAGCATCCCGCTAGAAAATACTGGCAACCTTGATCGTTCCTTCGTTGTGGTAGTGCAGGATATTTCCTGGGTAGGCGATGTTGATGCGCATTAACGAAGCCGAGCCCAGCATCGAGCTCTTTCCAGCCTCGCAGTCAAATGGGCTGCAGCTATAATTTTTATCGGGGGGTCGCCACCCGCCCCCTGAACGCGGCTCTCACAACGTTCAGGTATATATTGATTTTTCGCTAAAGTGCGCTTACAGTGATCCGGAAATTTTCTATCCGCAATACTTATTCTCCGGAACGTTCACTCTCGAGGTTCCCGAAAAATGCACTCCTACAATAAACCTCCGCCGACAAAGTACATATATTTTCGTAGATCACGACAAGCTCTACCAGATCTGACCGCTTACGACATATTGGAGCTGAGTGATTGTACTGGGATGCGTCTCGTAGTCTCCCCTGGCTACAACCAACCACTAATATTTCCAGTGAATTCAACTCTGCATACAGTCACGTGGAAATGTTCGTTGAAGGGACACCATTCATGGTAGTAGCCCGCAAGACTCTTGCTTTTCAGGCACCGCTGTTGATTTGAAATTTGAGCTCGTTGCCATGCAAAACGTAGAACTGACACTGTTTGCAATCTATGTGAATGGAACGACTGTGCAGCAGTAAGTATTGTAATCAGAAGTTAGCTCTCATTTAGCAACTACACATCATCTACCGGGATCTCATCTAGCGAACTGTACCTTACTGACATAATGAATATAACTGTAGGCGCCCTTGCCTTATTAAAAAAAAGACTTTAGTTGCGCCATCAGATCCTCGATCCAATGATTGGAGACCGTGGATATGGATACTTCGCTAGGGTGTATTTCGGTTATTTACCAACCACGGCCCCGACTTGGTCTCCAGCACCAACGACATCGGCAAGCCCAGCGGGAAGAGCGCGCAAACTTGAGGCTGTGCTCTGTGCTCTGCTCTGTTTTTGCCTTCTAAATGCATAAATTCTATGTAGATCAATGTAAAAAATATGTAAAAAATGGCTGTGTGTACTGGGGGCCTCATTAAAAAACACCCCCCTCCCCCCTCCTAACTCGATGCAGAAGTATCGGATCGGAACGATAGTTACACTATTCGAAAACCCTTAAGAAGGAAAGTTTGCGACAAGCTTCAAACCCATGTTTTTGGTTAAATTCTAGCGCAGAAGAAGAGGAAAATAGCTGCTGTAACTTTTGTGATATTCCTTTGCGCAAATATCGCATACATGTTTTTTAACTCCGATTGTTCATTACAATAAATCGATCCAGTCCTCTGTTGCTACTTTCCTCGTATCGATCGACCCGCCTAGCCCATGGCTGACTGCCAAGCACAGTTTTGGCGCCAACCCGGCAGAGCGTTCGCAAGATAAGAACCACAACTGAAAGTTTAACTAATGATTTTTTAGAATTTGTGGCCCTAAAGAGGGCCGTTGGGTTGGGGGATTGGGTTGTTGTTGACTAGCAGCTCCGGATAGGATTAGTCCAGGCTTAGAACTTATCCGCCGAATCCGTAGAGGGTGCGGCCTTGACGCTTGAGGGCGTAGACGACATCCATGGCGGTGACAGTCTTCCTCTTGGCGTGCTCGCAATAGGTGACGGCGTCACGGATGACGTTCTCAAGGAACACCTTGAGGACACCACGGGTCTCCTCGTAGATGAGGCCAGAGATACGCTTCACTCCACCACGACGGGCAAGACGGCGGATAGCCGGCTTGGTGATTCCCTGGATGTTGTCACGGAGAACCTTGCGATGGCGCTTGGCACCTCCCTTTCCGAGTCCTTTGCCTCCTTTGCCGCGTCCAGACATTCTTCGAAGTGTTGCTTCGATGAGATGGGGAATGGTGGGAGCTGGGGGTTTATATAGGGCGGGGAGGGGGTCCTGCCGCGATTCCAACAGTAGGTGGAGTCACCCAGTAGCTAGGGTACAACTTTCCCGCGCTTTCAGGTCACTAAGCCCCGCCCACTTGGTATATAAGCACTCTGGAACTACCATTCGATATCTCATCCCGAGAACAAGAAGGAAATGGCCCGCACGAAGCAAACCGCTCGCAAATCGACCGGAGGAAAGGCTCCTCGTAAGCAGCTTGCCACGAAGGCTGCTCACAGTCTGCCCCAGCCACCGGAGGTGTCAAGAAGCCCCATCGTTATCGCCCTGGAACCGTTGCTCTGCGTGAGATCCGTCGCTACCAAAAGTCGACCGAGCTTCTCATCCGCAAGCTCCCCTTCCAGCGTCTCGTTCGCGAGATTGCCCAAGACTTCAAGACTGATCTCCGCTTCCAGTCATCGGCTGTTATGGCCCTTCAGGAGGCTTCAGAGGCTTACCTTGTCGGTCTCTTCGAAGACACCAACCTGTGCGCCATCCACGCCAAGCGTGTCACCATCATGCCAAAGGACATCCAGCTGGCTCGCCGTATCCGCGGAGAGCGTGCTTAAGTTCTGAAGCTTGATCCTTCAAAACAACCACCCAACCCAACGGCCCTCTTTAGGGCCACAATTAAATGGTTAAAAATCGTAACTTGGCCGGGGATTACGCACCACATTTGGTCGCAATTTGAAAAACTGTTATAATATAACTGGTGGCAAATTTCGGCACGCCGCATCTTGGAATCGGAGAGAGGTTTTCACTTGGCCAGTAGCTCCTAGCGACAACTAGATATGTAATCACATATCTATATCGGACGAAGACCACAGAGTAAACGCTTATGGTGTTAGGAATTGTAAGATTTGTAAATTCCTGACCTTAATAAAAAAACATTGAATTGGTTGATTATTGTGTATGGCGCGATGCTAAATTTCCGCATGAAACGCGTAATTTTCATGAAACAAAGAGAATATATATTTTTCCGGGTCTTCAGCTTACACTTCGGCTTGGGACCTGAAAAAAAACTGATAAATGACGAAGTTCCAAAGTAGCAGTCCATCTAGTTTTCGAAAGACTGTTACAAGCTTGTTCTATTCGCTTCACTCTCTATGTCGGTTTCAGCAATCCGTATTGTTCCGATCTTAATGCACTCCTGGTCCCCCATTTGCCTTTCCTTGAAGTGTTGACCTAGTCCCGAGCAGCCACGGGGGCATCTTGGCGCCAAAATGCCTGCTGGCACTCTGCCAGAGGCGTCCCGGCCGATCAACCCTAAACGCTAAATCGATATCAGCCGAAAACAAATAAAGCAAGAAGTCCTAAAAATTGTAAAAACGATAATTACCAAATTCAGAACAAGCTGATGTAATGCATTTTGGCCATGACAATCAGTATATGCCCAGATTCTCGCTTTTCTAAAAGCAAGAAGGTTATTGGACAAGGTCGAGTAGGCAGAAATAAAATTATCGACATGTCCCATATAATTTAAACACAAACAAAACTCGAAAAGGCGAAATCTATTTTTCTTTTTTAATGTTGTATTCTTTTTCTTTCTTGAAGTCAAAATTTGTTGTTTAATTAATTTTAATTTTATTTAGTTTAATTAGTTAAAAATGAATGGTTATTTCTTATAGCATTGAACCGTTCTTTGTTATAATAATTAGCATGGTTTCAGAGGCATGAGTTTTGAGCACGCGCAGTTTTTAGATCTAGAGAGCACTCGTAAATAAATTGCGATTCTACCCGTTCACGCCGGTTTTGGATAAACTCTGACCACCCCCATGGGTTATTTGGTATAGCCCTTTGAGAATTTCTTGAGACTTGGCCAGGAAATAACTTTTGAAATTTTGCGCTACCAAAATCCCTGCTAGTTCGGTCCGGAAAGCTCAAATTCAAAATCGATGTTTTTTGCGTCGATATTCAGGGTTATTATATTAAGATTGTGGCCCTAAAGAGGGCCGTTGGGTTGGGTGGTTGGTGTTGGCAATGCCAGCCAAGTTGTCATTTCAATATCACAAACATCCAAATATTTATTTGGACGAAGTGTACTTGGTGACGGCCTTGGTGCCCTCAGAGACGGCGTGCTTGGCCAATTCTCCGGGGAGAATGAGGCGGACGGCCGTCTGGATTTCGCGAGACGAGATCGTCGACCTCTTGTTGTAGTGGGCCAGACGAGAAGCCTCCGAGGCGATACGCTCAAAGACGTCGTTGACGAACGAGTTCATGATGGACATGGCCTTTGAGGAGACACCAGTATCGGGATGGACCTGCTTGAGGACACGGTAGATGTAGACGGAGTAAGACTCCTTGCGGGACTTCCTCCTCTTCTTATCTCCGGTACGGGCGGCCTTTTGGGACTTTCCGGCCTTCTTGGCTCCCTTGGCGGACGGCTTGGGCGGCATATTCGACGAGTTCGAGCAGTTGATGCAAGATGGGGATCCTGGCTAGGTTGGGGCCTTATATGCCAGTCTAGAGGTGCGGAGGCGGGATTTGGTGACCTAGGAAGACACTCCCCCCGGGCTACGCGAGACTCCGCCCTTCCACCCTCTAGTAGGTATAAAGACCCCCTATCCCCTTCAATCCTCATAGTCAACTCGACTCTACCCAACTCAACTCGACATGTCTGGACGTGGCAAGGGAGGCAAGGCCAAGACTGGTGGCGGGCAAAGTCTCGCTCGGTGCGAGCCGGACTCCAATTCCCCGTTGGTCGTCTGCACCGTCTTCTCCGCAAGGGCAACTATGCTCAACGCGTCGGAGCCGGAGCCCCGGTCTACTTGGCCGCCGTTCTTGAGTACCTCGCTGCCGAGGTTCTCGAATTGGCCGGCAATGCTGCCCGTGACAACAAGAAGACCCGCATCAACCCCCGTCATCTTCAACTCGCTGTCCGCAACGATGAGGAGCTGAACAAGCTGTTGTCGGGTGTGACGATTGCCCAGGGAGGAGTGCTGCCCAACATCCAGGCTGTTCTCCTGCCCAAGAAGACTGCCGGAGACAAGGAATAGATTTACTTTAAAATCTACTTCCAAGTGTCGAGCTTCTACTCAACCAAATACCCAACCCAACGGCCCTCTTTAGGGCCACAAACTTAATAAATTCCCTTATCGAAAATGATTCTTTTTAACCAGAGAAATACCTGAGTCAATGCGAAAATATCTAAAATATCCCGCTACGAATCTTTGCAATGATGCCCTTTCATAATAAATGCAGGACGACGCGTTTGGCACGGTGCCAAGCGGAGCGTTTGGCGCCAAAACCGTACATAAAGTGCCGGGATCAACGAGCACACATTGATGTAATGGAGAAGGTTGCGGAAGGCGGATATTAATTATAATTTAATTCATGGCTGAAGCAGTTTTCTGAAACATTCTTAAAGCATTTGAAAGAGCGCTAAACGCTATCATCGCGGTTATTACTAACGATCATTTTCTTGAGCGGGAATCAGTTATTGTTGAAGTTTAAGCTGTTTAAGTATAAAAGTGCTGACATGGCAAGGCCTTTTCTAGGCCATAGCCAAATTGGGTTGGTACGTGAACAAGGACACAGTGAAACATCCTTATCATGTACAGCTGTACGCCGCTTTCCCGTCTAGACGCGGGCTTATGCCATGTTTCGGGATAAGCTTCTAGGATTCGGAGCAAGGCGTGACTTAGAAAGGACACAATCTGTTTCACGCTTATAAAAACGGGTCACTTTTGTAGCGATTTGTTTCATGCGCTTCGCGGCTATTCTTGCCGCGGTCCAGTCTTTATCGAAGTTAACGCTTGGTTTTTTGGACCAAAAGGTTTTTCAACTGACCGAAGACAACCCGAGCTACGTTTTGCATGGCACGGTTTTGCAGTGGAAGCAGGTTTTGGCACTAATTTTCTCGAATAACGAGTTTTTAGACCATAACGGTGCTCGGCTGTCCGGGCTGCACGTTGATTGTTGACTTTTCGAAGTCAAAATGCCTTGACCCAAATGGAAATAATGACGTAAGCCTCAGCCTAAAAACCCGATTTCGGTATTTGAGGCGCCCTCTACAGATTGAGGTCCCAAAAAATCACTCCCTCTAGCCGGCCGCCGGCAGACGTGTCCGATTTTTACGATTTAGGTATTTATTCTAGGCACCCGAAAGGGTGAGTCCAGCACGTCGCCCCGATTTTGAAACGACGGATTCTTTTACTCGATTTTTGGCATTTTTATGCAAAAATGAAGCGCTTTTTTATCAAAAACACGACTTGGAACTCGCTATGCAAGCTGTATTTTCGCAAACGGCTATCAAAAGGCTGTCATTGGGCTGCCAAGAAATGCGCAAAAAATTCCGAAAATGTGATTTTTTTTGTAAAAAACGCCTTGGTCAGAAAAACATCATAAAATCCGCCCACTTCGCCGAGATGTTGGTATTGTAAGAAAAATTGGAAAATTTTTAGAATCGGAGTCCGTGCTGCACTCGCCTTTTCGAGAGCTTTCGATAGCTACATAAATCGTAAAACGGCCACGTCTGGGGCCGACTAGGGGGATGTTCTTTTTTGGGACACCTTCTAGAAAGCTGCCTTTCAGAACCCTGTCATAAAATGCTACGATTCTATACCGATTTCGATTGACGGCCAAGTGCCTCGCCAAGACGGATGCACGATGGCTTGGTTAAACGTTTAGAGTTCCGGAAATGCGCATTTACAGGCCGACCTGCACCGAGTTCGACCGCATTCAAACGCAATGCTCTTGGACGATACTCGCTGATTCGGTAGAAGTATCGTACAATGTTCGCACCATCATATCGTCAAATATATTTGGAGTATCTGTGAGAGTACTCGAATGGATAGATCGTCAGTTTCAGTAAACTTTGCATAAAACTGGCGCCTTCAGCAAATTATACCTATCATTTACTACCCGAGTGGGCCGACCTCGACGATTGCGACGAAGGAAAAATATGGTTTTCGCCAATGCGCATCATCACCTTCGTGCCGATTATCTCAATGTAATTTGTCTCAAGGACGTTCCATTGTCAGCACCAGTAATAGTGGCGACTACAACACAACATTGCCGCGGACCCGTTTTAGCTTTTTGAATTTTGACTCCACCAACGGGACCTCATTTCTCGAAGCGTATCATGGCGGAGATCCGGGAAATAGCCAGATAAATGCCATCGCCACCTTTAAGTATGGTCAAAGTACCATGTGTAGCGATATTTAGCGCGAACGTACGGCAGATGGGGCTCTTCAGCTTCTCCTCGGCCACCACGCTCGTCAATCGGAACTCCCGTGGGCTGCTGGGGACTGTGGTCGGTTACAATCAAGTAGAGCTGGGTAAGGCATTAACAAACGTTTTGAATACACCTTAGTGTCGAATACCTTTGTGCCGCTGCAATACACGCAAACTTACCTCAACAGCTGGAAGTATCCATGGGTTTTTGAAGAGGATCAGGTCCTATTTCCTGAAACCACGATGAAGCTTGGCCGTGAGACTTTTTGTCGTATGAATATCCCTTTATAGTTTCATTATGTCGAGATTTCAGGATGGCGAAATTTCACGATGCCGAAATTTCATGATGGCGAAACTTCAGAATGTCGAGATTTTATAAAGTCGACAGTTAGAACAACTTTCTAAAAATCTGCCAAATAATCTGCAAAAAAAACAAAAATGAAACGAAAATGAAATCAGCCTGGGATGTCGGCTTTATGAAATTTCGGCATTGTGATCGATCGCTGAGCTCATAACATAGAGCGGCTTTCTAGATAGTGGAACCAATGCCAAACTCGTTTCCATAATTTCGCTAGAAGGTGGTACATTAAAGATCAGATCGTTGGATGACAATGGCAAAAACATCACAACCACGTAAAGAATCACCCAAATAAAAGTAATACTCCTAAAGATACACGTCTGCCGACTCTGGATCACATTTTCCCCTTGGCAGGGAGATTACTGAGGTTTGATCTAATAGGTCTTGATGCCAATCCAACCAAGATCAAATTTTCGCGACAAACTGGATACAACGGGACTGGAGGATTCAAAGTCGCGATCGAACCGCAGTCAGCTTATACAAGCGACACGTTTGCAATGGACATTACCACCGTCGCTCCGAACTACATGTTCAACATCGTCGATCTTTTAAGCACACAGTGAGTATAGCTGGAAACACGGCCTGACATCTTGAGCGTGTAGAACACGTTTTCTTGCCGTGTTTCCCAAGATTGACGTGCAGGCGAACGTGGCACTAACGGTATGCAGCCTGGATGACGATAGCACACCGACACAGCACATGGCTGGCTTTGTCAATTGTGTATCCAGGTATGCACAACGATGACCCCCGAAACTTACTTCCAACAGCGCCAACTTGACCACGCGAGTGCTCAACTGCTGCACGAGAATCGAGCCAGTGTCGAATGGCAGTTCAATCCTGATGGACGTCTACAACTTTACGTACTATAACGCGCAACCGTCCGTGGTATTTTCGGTCGAGCTGGCAAAGAACAGTATGTTTTATCTCGTGCCTTTTTCATGACGTTAATGTGGTTCAAGCCAATATTTTTTTAGATAAAGCGTTGGTGCTCAGCATGCCCTTCGACGCCTTCACGGATGATGCTTTGGCCGTTAGGGGTATGCAAAATATTTCGAAAAAGACGAAATGCATTGAAGTCCCGAGCTCGGAGAAAACGGTTTTCTTCGTCGTCTGTCTGGCCAGTCACCACTTTCGCAAACGAGCCGACGAGATCGAGACGGGCGTCGCGGTGTTGACAGCGATTTTTTGGGTAGGTTAAGGATTTTAAAACTTTTAAAATTGCCATAATTCATGGATTCAAAAATACGTTTTTTAGCCACACAGTTTGTTCGATTGCGAATACCGTTTGTACACGGGGATGGTAACTGCAGAAAACACTTCCAGGCCGCTGACGATATTTAGGTAAGTTTTTTGAGCGTGCCTAACGAGGTTTCTCTCAATTTCAGAAATGCCGACATCTTCTACCCTATTTGGCTTTTTGCCGGGACTTATACGTTGGAGATCCCGGCCGGTTGCATGCCTACGATATCTTTAGGAACCCAGCGTAACGCATTTCCTGTATTTTGAGGGTTTATGTTGTTCAGAAGTCGAATCCGTCGAGAATATAATATCCACCGACTGCATCGGTAGTCGATTGATCGTTTCACCAAATTTTAATATGATGCCGATTAATGCCTACAGCGGAGTGGCGGAAAACATTACATGGATATGTGAGTAAGCCTAGGATTTTAATGCATTTTTGCCCTTTTGCCCCTTTCATCAAAGTTTGATTGGACCTTTTCAATGTTTCTGCAAAATTTTTGCGATTTAGTGAATATATTTTAGGTACTTCTGTCGACATCAGCCTCGAGTTAATCAGTTTGATATATGGATCGCTCGATATCTACTTTTATCATCTAGATGGCAGCACTGAAATGCGGTTAGTCTTAAGAAAATTGATATTTGAAAAAAATCATTTTAGTTCATACAACCTTTCGCAACCGACCGCTCGATTCAAAGCGACAGAAATCACAATGCTAACTGTATTTTTCTGTTACCCGCCTTGAATTCTCAGCTCTAGGTATTTTACGGTGAAACCGGAGAGGCTCTCCCCTTCGTTGGAGGTTATTTATTACGAGTAAATTTTACGGACCGACCTCGGACTGCTACTGAAGCTTCATCGACTGAAAAACAAAGGCAGCCCCCTCAGTCAGCTTCCGTCATTCGATTTAAATTCTCCAATTTGTGGTCGGCATTGTTGATATCAATAATAGCTCAGGAATAAACGAGATTATGACGATTATTGCACAACTACAACTTTAAATTAAGTGCGGCGCGCGCATTGGTATTTTCGTGTGAAAAAAACACGATGCGTAAAAACAGGCGCCGGGGAGCGGATGCTAGAGCCGCAACAGGTGGATTATCGACAGCTTTGTCGGTTGGTTGTGTGCGTAGTCGATCACAAAATGAGTGCACAACCCGGGCCATATTTCTCTAAAAATGTCGATCCTGGCTTTTATTCAAGCCAAACTCGGATTGAGACGGCCTTTGGCACGTTGCCAAGGAGGATCAGGACGACATCGTGTAAGGTTTCTGTCTTTTTTAACAATCTACCATCGATGTTCGGACTTTTGGACCAAAAATGATACACGAATTCCCAAAAATGAGGCACGAGCCAAATTTCAGTCTCATCCACTCATGAATATGCACGGCGCAGTGTTTCGCTAAGCCGCCCGACGCGAATTGTGACCGGTTGGTTCGCTGCGGGCAGCTTTTCGACTTTTCCAATTTTTCGATAGCGAGTTGATGAATGGGTTTTTGTTGCCTTTTTTGGTTGATTTTGGTGCTTGAATGACTTTAATCCAGATTAGAATTTTCAAAGCATAATTCGGTTTTTAAGACAACTTCACGTCGGTGCTTTCAGTGCGACCGTGCATGGGCAACAAGACTTCTCGTGGCGAGAGGGCGTCGAATCACGTCGCGTTTAGCGTAGATGGGGACTCGGTTGGACCTAGAAACGGACCAGGACCGGTTCCGAATATTGTAATTACACAACCGACACCGATCGATGGTAAGTCTGGAAAGCCCCTCCATTTTCCTAGAATAGTTTTCTTAAAATATTTTTTTCTCTGAATATCAGCATAATCTGACATCTATTCCATCTAGCTGTGTTCTTGCTTATGAAGCGATTGAAGCGTAGCCAAAAACTAATTCCAGGAAATCAAAAAGCACATTTTTACGAAAAATTAATCTAGGAAAATGAACTTATGCCGAGACTAAGTTATTCATAGCTTTTTCCGCTGTATAATCCGCAAAATACACGCCGTAGGCACGAAGGTATTGCAATTCATGCTAGCCCATTTTAGAACAACGCGCCTTCCTCGCAGCCCCATCACCGCGAGCACCACCCAGCAGCCCGGCGCGCAGCCCCACGCGTAGCCCGGTCCCGCAGCGCAGAAATCGCAACGGCACCGTGAACCGTGCTCACGATGAGCAACACGAAACGCGGATAATGGCGGGTAGGCGAAGGGGGATTATCGGAGGGATCGAATTGTTTGGAGATGGGCTGTAAAAACGGGGCAAATCGTTGAAGAGCCCTTTCCATGTCAGGTACGCCTCCGCCCGAACATCCACCTCCTCCGCCTCCGCATCCGCCCCCGGAAATTGATGAAGCCCAGGCGACGGTTAGGCAGATTTTGGAGAGGTGAGACTTGAAGGTGTTCGAACTGAAAGACGCAAATTTTTGAAAAGAGTATCAGCCCGGTAAAAAAACGAGGGTTAGCAAGCTCAAAATCAATGACATTGTGCGCGCTCGATTCACCGCTATATTTTTAAGCTAGAAGCCACCTGCAAGGCATCGATTTTGTCAAAATTAAACTGTTAAAAAATTAGCTCACGTTTCTAGAGCCCTTTTTCAGGCTGCAGGGCCCATTCCCACCAGCCGTAACTCCCCGACAAAACGTGCCGACGATCAAGCAGAAGCCAGTCGTTTACTCTAGGCCACAGTGAGCATACAAGTCTTTAAGAATAACTGATTTGCCAGGATACCAAAAATCGCTCCTCCTACTACCAATTTTACCACTACTAAAGAAAAGCTGAAGGATGAGCCAATTTACAAGAATACTCGAAAATCATCGCAAGGCTCGATGCAGTCGGTATCGACAAAGGTATAATTAATCTGTAATAAACTAAAAGTAGCAATTCCTTTTGACCCATTACATCAAATTATATTCAATAACTTGCGTTAAAAAAAATCGAAACTGCGTTTTAGTACTCCCACGACAGCTACCCGATCTACAATCCGGTGCAGGATTTCGGCTTTTCCGGCGGCAAACCGGTCCAGACCGGAGGATTCCCGATCGAGACGGTAGGCCAATGTATACTAAGCATTTTAAAGCATTTAGAATCGAATAAATATTGGATTTTGTGGGCGATTGGGGTCAGGAAAGTCTCACCTGATCAATGCTCTACGCGGAATTGACAACGGGGCGCCAAATAGCGCGGGGAGATATGTGTGCGACAAGATGGAGCCGTTCAGGTAGTGTCAAGGATAATAAAGTCTTTATTGATGGTTTAGATTTGTTGAAGTGGAGCTGCAACATATTGTCATTTGGGAAATACCGTATCCCAGGAGTTTTACAGCTGTGGTGGATGTGTACGACCAGAATATGGGATTTGAGCGATTTTATGAGTAATAACTTATCTTAAAATTCAGAAAATTCTAATTTGACCTCGCTAAAAGTATTGCTAATACCGCTATTCTATAAAAAATGCCTATATCTAAACGCAAAACATAACCTCAAATTTCAGCGCTCATCAACTCCAAGTCTTCAAACATCTCTTCGTCCTGATCCCCGACGGAGCCCTCCATGATGATGATATCGCATTTTCTAGGGTTTTACACTCTAGGAGGTACCTTAATTGGAGAATCACTAAGTTTTTCAGAACCCCAATGACGATATTATCAACAAAAAGTGACGACGATTTGGACGCAGAATCACGAGAAAACCGACAAAATGTTGGGCCTGCCCTGACCAAGTGGTACCTGGAGAAAGGCAGCTAAATTTAATTTTTTATACCTTCCAGCTTTTAGCAAAAAGAGTCTTCCACCAGAATCTCAGCCAGAAGGCGCCAATGCTCTTGGGGGCACCACTACTTTTCGTTAGTGCGCCAGTCGTTAGGAATTTGTTGTCGAACACTATCGGGTATGCCCAAAATTTGAATTTCAGAATTGATGAATTGATAGCTTTCTTCATTATAAATTGGATGAAGACGAGCTGTTGAAGATTATCGGGCTGGCCCCGAACTGTCATTTGGCATTGGAGAATAGGAATCGAAGAGAGAAAATGGAGGTATGGTCCGGCTTAGCTTGGGTTTTGCTCAGGCTTACTTGGCTTCGGCTTAGCCAGCCTGGATTAGACTTGGACTGCGAATTGCTATGGCTTTAGCGTGACAATCAAAGCACATACTCGAGGTCCAAGGACTCAAAGGGATCACGAGATAATTTGGATAGTGATACTGTTATTATGAAGGTGAGGGAAGTATGCAAAAACCAGTTCCTTAATTTTTAGAACGTTCCTCGACTTCAAAAACCTCGAACTTTACCGCAACTACTGAAACAAGATACCGTGCTGGCCGATTCTGGATTCGAAATCCTTTTTGCGACTGATGACCGGCCGGTCGGGAATTATACGCCGAAGTCTGTTATAGAGAGCGCGGCTAGGGTATGCGGACTTTACTTTTCCATAGTGTACCAATAGACCGTGTTCAACTACGGATTCATTGGTGGGTATCGGGTCGGAAAATCGGCCATGATAAACGCGATGCGGGGATTAAGCAGCAAGCATCCGTTTGCCGCTGGAAGGGTACGTAGCTGGTCGTTCCTCCCCTCTCTCTCTCTCTCTCTCTCTCTCTTTTTCTTTTTTTTTGCTGCAGTTCTCCCTCCATTACCCCTGGTTTTCAGGAGAAAACCAAGCCCGGAGCCTGTGAAAAATACGAATTTTCCGATGACCTTCTGAAATACGGAGTGACGTTGTGGGAGCTGCACTACCCCAAGAAAATTAATGGATACTTCGAATTCATCGAGTAGAGTTTTTCTTCAATTGTTAGGTTTTTTCAGCTTCCACAATCTATCTAGCTTCACCGCAATTTTCATCTTGACCGATGGTACGCCGAGCGATGAGGATCTCAGTTTTGCCAAAGTCGGCCGCACTAATACGGAGCCTTTGAGGCAAGCTAAATTCAGATAGCGCACCGTCGCAACGCTACCGTCGTTTTCCTATCTTCAAAAACTGACAAAAGACTAACGACAAAGTCAAGGGCCGATGAAATTCCGGTGTGCGATATTCTGAAGCAAAGATACGTCGATAAGGGTAAGACGCTGACGTTAACTATGTCTTACTGTCATTTTCTCTTCAGGGCTTGCTCGTTTCGACGCAGCACTTGCGAACGCGGCACCGGAACTTTGCGGAAGGTATCGGAAACTTAGAAGCCCGCGAAAATGATTTTAGAGTTCACTGCTTCTTCGTATCGGCGCCTGTTTTTCGATCTTTGCGCTGTAACGATCGAAAATTTGTGCACTTTTTGGTGCACGAGAGGGCTGTGTTTGATTTTTTAAAACAGGTGAAAGAGACTCGCAGAGAGAGAGACAAAGTCCTGGCGAAAGAGTTAGAGAGTTGTCAGGGTCTTCCACCGTAATTTTTTATTAATTCTTAAAATTGTTTTTTTCCACAGTCAAAAAAGCATTTTCTTCCAGAAACGCATAATCTCCGAGATGCTCGAATCTCCGATGCAACACCAACACACCCCCGGCTCCCCACCCGATATAAACGCCGAGGTGGCCGGCGTCGTCCAGCTGGCTGATGTTTATGCCAATGCCCGGGAGTAGCTAGGCGAATAAATTTTACGCACCACTCCGAGGGACACTTTATTACACCAAGCAGATGGGGAAAGATATTGTCAAGTTTTAAGGGCCGTCTTCCGATCGACACTTTTGCTGGGAGCTCGTTTGGCTGGGTTCTGGGCGGTGCAACTGCGCTGGTGTACTTCGAGGCGGTCTTGCTAAAAAATGGAAATATACTTTGGCGATCATATTAAAGGCAAGTATATGTAGGCATGTAGATGAGAGAGAGAGAAACAGAGGAGAGAGAGAGAGAGAGAGAAAGAAAGAAAGAAAGAGAGAGATAGCGAGAGAGATATAGAGAGAGCTAGCAGGAGTGAGAGCGAGCGAGAAAGATCAGACATTTTTATGGAGGCTAAACTTCTTGGATAAAAATAATTATTCTAAAAATAGTAGGAAGATTGTAGGTAGATCTTGAGCACTATAATTTATCAATTCCTACCTTAAATCTCCTTCCACAATGCTCGCACTCGACCATTGACCCTTGCGCGGCTTGCCAATTCGCCTCATTCGTTGCCGCCACATCGACGGAACCCCCTAAAAATTAGCATAAGAATTGAAAGAGCCAGGTTAGGCGTCTAGCACCTTTTTGGACCAACATAACCTCAAGGCAAAAATGCACCCAAAACGTTTACCTACGATAACTGCTTCCGGTTTGACGGGTGGTGGGCGACGCTTGGATTTTGGGAGCTTGTCATTTTCGGCGTGCCATTTTTGCATGCATTGGGGCTGCAAAAAATAAAATTAGCCACCCGACGTCAACCGCTATCCAGATTTTTAAAAGTTGTTACGAAGCATTTCTATAGAAATATGGAGGCAAATTTCAGGAATTTGGGGTTGTTAAATTGAAAGCTTAGCGCTTTTTATTCCAATGAAAATTAGAAGCGAATTTTGATCGGTCTTTAAGCGCACGTTATAACTTTTAAGCTACCTCATGTATGCCAATACTTTTCGAGCCAAACTGCCGCCCGCAGATGTAGCAGAACACGGTTGGAGCCGGCCCGCGAGCTCGAGGGGGTCCCGGGACGAGATGGCTCTAAATTAGTTTCTTTAATTTTTCGTTTGCCGGTTTCTCTAATAGAATCATAGTATTATTTTGGTTTATGCTGATTTCCGGTTTTCCAAATAGCCGCCCAAAAAGCCAGGCAGCACGTGCCCACAATGGTTTCCAAGGTGATCCGCGTGTTTTTTGGGCGCCCAGTGCGATGGAAAAGCTCTTTTCGGCCGTCAACATGAAGGGCCAATTAATGATTTTTAGGTAAGGGGACTTGGTAGCCGAGCAGAAGATGGCTGTCAAGTGGCGACAAGCGGAAATGGGCGAAACTAGGGTTCACATGCATTTTGGAGTGGGTCTAGGCGCTTAGTGGAGTCTGAAGCAGGCCGGTGGCCGAAAAAGGTTTTGGGAAAGTTGCCAAATTAAAAATTAGCATTAGAAAACCGGACCTTTAGAAAACCGGACCTCAACGTTAAAAATCGAATTTTTAAAATTGTTTTTATTAAAATGAATTTTTGAGGTTTGAGGTTCAAAGTTTTGGGAGGATGTTAAAAACAAAAATGCAAAAGTATCTAGTTGATTTAAAAAAGCGGATTTATTCAATTAATGACTTTCTAGCCCATTAGAGCTTTCAAAGCGAACTAATTGTTTTTGTAAGTTTACCTGCTTTGCCAAATTCACACCGGCTCTGCTCTTTGTGTTTGTTTTTTTACAAAATAACTTAAAAAATTACATACCATTCTCCCGACAATAAAATCCGGACGAAGCCGAGGTTGTGCCCACCGAATTCAATCAGCCAAGCAGGTGCTGGGCCCCCAAAAAGACGAAGCCCGAGGGGGGCCAAGATGGAATCGTTTTCAGTCAGGCAAGGGGGTGGAAATGGGCCTGGAGGGTATGTGGGGCCCCTTGGCCCTGGCGATTCTGTCCAAAAGAGCCGAGGTGGGCGGGTCCCCCGTTCCCCTTGTGGTGCCCAAAACGGGGCTCGACAACAATGCAACAAACTGGAAAACACGAGTCCATATAGGATTTAAGGACCCTGAAATGAAAAAAACCGGCGAGGCGATATTTTGTGTCACGAGTGGCATCTCGTTATATGAGATTTGCTATCTTAATAATCATAACAATTAGCATAATGTCGAAATTCATAATGTCGAAATTCTTATGCCTAGGATTTCGGGGTTTTACCGGGAAATACTAGCTTATGTAAATTTCCGCATTCTGAATTTCGAGATTATGAAATTTCGACATTATGAAATTTCGACATAATGATAGTTCGACCTTATTTTAACTTTGACATTATGATTTTCGAAATTTTGAAAACAAGCCGTTATATGCTTATGTCGTTAAAGCGAAGTCGTTCCGTGAGCCCTTTTTATTTGCAAGATACACATTAGATTCCCGCTCAAATTTCGCCATTACATGAAAGGAATGGCTCTACAACTCTCGGTTGAGTCTAGCGATTCAACGATGTAGATGATGGACCCACGAAGAGCACGTTGCCTGCATGCGCCATACTGTAATGACGGGCATATTGCAAATAGTGTCCCAGTACCTTTTGAAGCTGAATAGTCTTGTGACGAATTGCCGATATGGTTTAGTCAGATAAACTATCTCTATGGACGATACGGTGGCGTGACATCCATTAAAAAAGAAGAGCAATCGGAGAATTGCTAAATCATAATAGAAGCGCTTGTTGTTTTCAACTCACCTAGTGAGACTTCAAGGTCTAGGAAAATAATCACTCCAGCCCCCGTCCAGGGGATCATCAACGTCAGAAGTGGGACAATCAGCTAAATCGTCAGATTTAACGAGCTGATTGACCCTTTCAAGATGCGATACATAATTGATTCAAAATATTTTTTTTACGGAAAAATGAGCTACTTTAAGCTCTTTTCCTAACACGATATCACTCGGACATACTGAAACAGGGGGCATGCAAATACACACTGACCGGCAAACACTATTTTTGTATATGCTAAATGTTTGGATTTTGACGTTTCTTGTTAATCGGAATATCCAAGCGCCCATAGTATCAATTGTATTTCCTTGTAAGGTGCTTAATCATGAGCAAGACCTTGGGCGCATAGCCGAGAAAATAAAAATTTGAAAGCTAAATCGAGCCTGCAAAATCATGTGTTGGATCAACTTTTTGTGCAACTGGCGCGTCGCCCTGCTCATATTGATCAGATGCCAATTCAGGAGGTAGAGGCTGTGGCCGAGCAGAAATGCGCCCTGGAATTGAAAACGTGCACAGCACAGCCTGAAATCCAGCTGACCATTGTCAAAAAGCTAATTGCCGTCGCGCAGATCTGCATACCCCAGGCGACACCCGCCGGAAAGGACGCTGAAGCGTAACCGTCGGCTGTAGCGTCCCCTATCCATAGATCGGGTAGTTTTGTCAGGAATTGCCAGTTCGGGTACTGCTGAAGAATTTTCTATGCAAAACCAACAAGGGTCCGGTCCTACCTTCAGAACAAGTTTCATCCCTGGGCCGTTCATGTCGCGGCTAAATGCCGTGAAGGATAACACCGTGCACATGGCAGCGGCACAGATCACGTAGTGGACCGCAAAGAAAAGTGCCCAAACACGACGGGGCAGTCTGAAACGGAGGGAATGGAAGCAGGAACAAGAAGGACAAAGAAGGAACCGCCTTTTCGTTTCCAAACGGTTTGTCGCTAAACACGACTTCCTGCTATCTGCTTTACCGAGATGACAGACCCGAATGTCAAGAACATAATACCGCGTACCTCGCCCAGTGCCCAAGGGGTAGAACCTGTCGGTGACGATAGACAAAGCACAGGGCGATCCCAGTGATGACCAACAACAACAAAGCACCACCAAGCATCTTAAAGGTATCCGAAAAGCATGACTACTGTAGTGCCATTGCCATAGCCATGACTCGCCGCCATAAGCAGCTCTAACCCTACCGTCAAAATCTTGGGACCCAGGTAGCCGATTGGCCCATGAAATTGGAAACACATTGGCGGGACGAACAATTCCGGCACGAGCAAATGTAGTGATGCCTCGAACAACGTCGAAAACACCTAACAAAGGGGCATATAAACAAGATCGACAGACAATACCTGATAAAACAGCATTAATTTCGAATAGTCTTTCAAGTAGGAGGGAGATGCAAATAGAATCAAGGCGGAAGTCCCGACATTAATGGCGAGCCCGACGATGGCCATTACGTTGGAAGCGGCCAGGTAAATGGTAGGGGCCTCATATTCATATTGGGTCATTTAGATAAAGTTGATGCTTCCACAAATCATGCCGAATGAAACCGGGGACAGCATCCAGCAGGTGCAAAATGTATCGCTAAATTGCAATTAATCACTCTGTAGTCTTGATTAGGTATTTTATGACACGGCTAAAGAAGTAATTACCAACCACCCTCGACGCTAATTGTGAGAGTTTACTTTACCCCCCCAGCCGGAAGGCCCCAAATCTTTTAAGGTCACCAATCGCTAGCCTAGATGCCAGCTACTATCCCCTGGCCTATATTTGCGAAAAATAAATATTAAAATTTATATAATTAAAATATTCTTTGGCAGGTTATCCGGATTTTGCTTGTTTTTGCCATAACCATTTTATTTTTCAATATTTTGGGTCGTAATTAAAACTCTTACCATATTTTTTATGCTTTATCGGATGGCCTTAAAGAAAATTTGTAAAAATTTCGAAATGTCGAAAACTAATACTCCCGACTACTGTACGCGGTGATCATTTCTTATCAGCAACGGCTCCGTCACGTTGGGGCCTATAATCCGTGTCTGGGCATGATCGGCCTGGTTCAAATACGTCTTCGGGCGGTTTTGCGGTGTAAGCCGGGCTGAAAACAAAAAGCTCAGGTCTTCAATGGCCAAAGCGCTAGACGAATGTGTTATTGTAGGCGACTTAACGCGAATCCGACGTTCGGTTGGGTTTCTGCCGGAACGCCCGAACTTGAATCTACTCCGAATATTTCCTACTTCCTATGCGTTTGACATGGGTTTTTGTGCTTCAAATAGGGTCTATCAGCGCATTTTATGATCAAAGAATATTTCATTTGACGAGTGAGAACCCGGCTTATGCACTGCACGGGACTGGCTTGGCCTGGAAACAGGTACGGTTTTTTGGCAACACTTTACTTTACCCCCCCCCACCCCAGCCGGACTGTTTTGGATATAACTTTTTTTATTTTACATCATGGTAAGCTCAAATTAAAGCTCTTGGCATATTTTTTCACGGTCCATCGAATGGCGTTACAAAAAACCTGACAAAATGGGTGAACATGCCGAAAACTTTGAGACCCTTCGGCTGGGGGGGGGGGGGGTCTTACCGTTTTTCTTTGTTCCGAATTGCTTCTAGAGCATAAATATTGTTGGATGTGAAGGGTGCACCTTTATTATTGACTATTCAAAGCCGGGTTGTAATGATTCGCGTGGCAGCCAAAATGTTGGTTTGAATTTTTTTGATAAATTTTTCGGCTCAAGCTCTTGTGAAGCAAAGTGGCTTCGCGCTTCGATATTTCTAAATCCTTTAGGACACTGCGATACTGTGCTATGATGATTTTCCGTTCTTTCTGGCCGGCGTGGTGCCAGACGTATCAAGCTGTACGCAGGCTTGGTACGTAGCTGAAAGCGATTTTTTTTTGGAATGCAAGTTTTCCAGGTCCACCTGCGCCGACTTTCAACAATTCCAATTTCAATGCACCTGGAATATTGTTGCCTCCGAAATTGAACTAAAATACCGTGCAGACGTAAAAATAGCAGGGGACTATTTTGCGCTCTCGGTCCGTGTGAGCGAGTGGATTGAAGGTGTCCTCTTTTTGCTCGTCACTCACATATCGGCAGAGGGCCTCGGTTTTATCTTTTTATACCAGGGTTGAAAAGCCGCTTCGCGACTTTTCAACCCTGGACCCGTCTAAATCCCATAATATTCTTCACTTTGCATAATTCGCCCAAACTGCGATGAGAAACACTGAGAAGTGCTCGCTCTCTCCCATTAAATAGGCTATCGCCACTTCCGGCGTATGGTAATTATTTCCTAACAAAGAGGTCGCCCGATTTTTCAACAAAAACTTAATTTTCACGTCGAAAATAGCATAAATTGCAAAATCTGGTATGCGTGCAGTCATCTCGGTGCCATTACGCACCTAATGACGTATCATACGTAGCTGAAAACCCTTCCCCTCATGAGTTATCTTCCGGACACGGTGACGGAAGTTGCCTGCAAATGCACACTGACACACAAACAATATTTTTTTATATATAGTAGGATTCATTAGACGGCTTCTATGTTTTTCGATCCGCCGAAAAACCAAAATTTGCCGATGAAACTGACATTAAAGGGGCTCCGGAGTCTGGTCGACGGCCCCCAGCGTTAATTCCTGGCAAATAGCCAGATGCGACCGCGCCGCATGTCTTTTTGCCCCTGTTTAGACGTGAAAACGCTTGAATTTCAAAATTCTGAGGCTATTTCTGTAATCCTCATAAAATTTTGATCATTCTAAACTTTTTAATTATGAAAATTGATCAGATAATCACCGAGATCGAGAGATTGGGGGGGCCTTACCAGGCTTACGACATGCAATCCCTGCGCGCTGAAAAAGTCGTTTTTGCCCCGAGAACTTTTTGGGTTTACTCAAATATTTTACGTTCTTTCGCAACGAAATCGCTTTTCTGGTACTTCTCGGCAGTGACCCTTTCGTTTTTTCACCAGTAGGTTCATTCTCCTCACGCACGAATTTTGACTTCTTACTTTAGCCCCTTTACTTCCATCCGTTTTCAACCTTTCCACGACCTAAAATTACGTATAACATCCGGATACTTTTATTAAAGAACTAAGTGTTGTCAAAGGAAACAATAAACTAACACAATTTAGATAGCCCCCGATATCTGTTGTTTTCCGTTTGGCCGGACGGCGACAGGTCTTGCGTCCAACAAGACTACGAAATCCTCCTCGAGCCATCCGCATCGTTGACCTGCGTCACGAAATTCGATCCGTATCTGCCTTTTCAATCCAGTATCTATCACGAATTCCAGCGCAACCTACACCACCATGGTTCCGGAAAATTACTTCCTTACGCTGAGTGATGTGGCGGCCGTCGCAGATGGGGCTCTGTTGGAGATCTATGCCGGCGCATTCCCTAGTCACGACCGCAACTCCTATATTGGGAGCACATAGTGAGCAAAAGTTTTTCAACCCTTGAGATACGAGTTTTGTAGCAGTTCGACAATTAAATAGTTTCGCTGCCGTCGTCACTTTCGTCAACCGAGATCCAGAGAAAATTATTCGCATCACCCCTCAAATGGGCCGCATCGCGAAGGGTAAGCGTGTCCCGCCCAAGTTCGAGGAGATTTTAGATAAAATTGTAATTACGCCAAATTCGAATGCGCCAACGTTTTTGAGCAGCCTCAAATATCCGTGGATTTTTGAGGAGGATCTGGAACTTTTCGCAGAGACGGTCATCACCGTAAATTGTGAGAAAACTCGGGTTTAAAGTTTAATTAAAGTACAGAATCGTATATGCTGATATCAGGAACAATATTTACCTACACGGTGCCCCAATAAAAAACCCTTTGACCCGATGCAGAAGTATCGGATCGGCATCCCACTATTCGAAAGTTCTGGAAACGTCGAGTTTGCAACAATCTTCAAAAACTCGTTTTTAAAATAAATCTGCCATTTTTACAAGCTAGTACGCTTACAAGCTTTTGCAAACCCGGCGTTTAAAGCGCACGTTCAGGTAGGGGCCGTGTACTCGTCCCAATGTGTACACCCTATGGGCGTAGTGACCGCGCGCACGGCCTGCCCGTTCCGTGGGAGGCTATTTCCCTCCTTTGCGACGTGGGGCGCCCCTCATCCCCGCGCCAGGTTGTAGCTGTGGCTGACTGGTGTCCATCCGCGCCTCTCGAGCGGGGGGCCCGGTTCGATCCCCGGCCGCGTCTAAAATCTTTGCTTTTTTCCGAAAAAACCTCCCTGAACGTGCCCTTTAATGGAATTTCGGTAGTTGGGACGATCATTGCGATCCGATACTTCTGCGCCGACTTAGAGGGAGCTGTTTATTTATCGAGAAACCCTGTAGATAATCAAATTACGTGTACCAAACTGACGATTGATGGTGTGGATGGTGGGACGTTCGAAATAGGTCTTACGAAGGATAACGTACATATCAATTCCCGTAAGAAGTAATGAATCCGCAAAATCCTCAAACGGGCTTTACGCAATTGCAGTTACACCTCGACGAGCGCTGGGACGTCCAACCCCCTAACCGAAAACGTAAAACTGGTTAGCGTACCACCACCTTTAACGCATTATCTCCATTTTGAAGCTTAAATTCACGCCATCGAAAAATCACGCTGTCGGTGGCTTCCGCATCGTGCTATATGGAGATATTATCGCGTATGGAGACCTCACCACCCCAAAAATTAGCCCCGACGTGCCGAACTTTTTGCTGAATTTGGTCAATATCTTCGGTAACTGACCTTTCACCAATGATCCCCACTTTTTTCGGTAGCGCAATGTATACGCAGCAATTTGTCGCAACCGTGGGAGGACTCGATGTAGAGACCAACATCACGTTTACCGTGTGCAGCCTGCACCACAACGTTACGACGGCCGATCAAGCCGTAGAATATGACGCATGCACGACCAAGTACCTTTGTGTTTTTAGGGCGGAGCTTACAAGGAGAACGTTTTTAGTGAAGATCGAGTTTACGAGCCGCACCAACCCTACCTTGTGCCGAACTTTGCGCTGATTCTGAACCACCCTGCTTGGTCACGCACGAAAACTAGATTGTTACTAAAAATCTGTCTCCTTGTTAGTTAGATCGGACTTTGGCCATATTTCCTCTAGTATTTGGATACTACATAATACCGGGCACCTATTTTTTGATCATCTCGGAGTCTCGGAGGACTAGCAAAAATTATAAAATGAGTGGAGAAAACAAGCGCTTTTTGTTTTAAAAAAAATTTCGTCGCCCACGCTTCGTATTAAATGATTTCTTAGAAAAGCTTAAAATCGCGTCGTCCTGTTAGTTTTAGCAAGCAATGAACATGCTGATTTTGCGTAAAATCTGCAATTTCTTTGGATTTCTGTCCTGAAATGTGTGAATTAAAATGGCTATATTGATAAACGAAAGGTGCTTGCTTCCTCGCCTTTTTGAGAGCTTTCGATAGATTCCTAAATCGTCAAAATCAGACACGACTGCGGCCCGCTAGTGGGAGGTCGTTTTTGGGATACCCTGTGGACCAGCAGGAATTTAACAGAGCAATTATATTAGAGCAAAAAAATCAAAATAAACCTTCATAAATCCAAAATTCCCCAAACCCGTTTCAGTTCGGACCTAATGACCGTGCTCCTGGATTGTTGCTCAAAAACTGTCGCGGCGTATAACGGCCAGCGGATAGCCTTTGACATCCGTAATTTGACTTCCTACTCCGGTGCCCCAATAGCATTCTTGATTCGCCTACACGATGGGTTGGGGAACGATGGTAACCTACCTTTAACACATCGTCATACCCTTTAATACCAGAACAGCCGATCGTTTGGACAATCCCATACAACCCGGCCGACGACGAGGAATTGAATTTTCGGGTCCCTCCGTCTGACAGCACCGCATTTGTGGCCCTTAGTCTACCACCACTGGATGTGCGTCACTTTCGTGGCCCCGTGCGGGGAACCGATTTAGGCTCCTACTTCGTCGTGCTGAGGGATATTGTTTGGGTAACCTAGCTGACAATTACTACTCTTATACAGCCGCATAGTACACTGGACTGCGACTACAATTTCTATCCCGGCATCGTCACCAGCGCTAACCAGTCTGTGCCGCTGGCGATATTTCGGTATGGATGTAAACATTCAAACATTTCGGTATGTAACCGACGGAATCTCAGGCTGATTTTTGGCCGGGAGGTGGGAAATGCCATTCACCAGATGCTGTTCTTTGGATTTTCCGAAATTACTTTATTTAACCATTTTACAAGCAAAAATGTGAAAAATCCTTAACAATCTGTCGAGAAAAGGGTATGTTCGGAGGTATCTCGTGATACCGGCCGAACTGGTCCTTGATTGTTGGAGGGTAGAAAGAAAATACAATTCCTCCGATGCTATTCTTTGAGAGTTTTCAAATGTCTTTAAAATAAGTTTTTTTTTCTTAGAAAAATTCCTTAACAAATTGCCTAGCGTGCCGAGGTGTACGAAACATAACTCAAAGCCCATATGGAATTGCGGTCGATAATGTGGATTGCTAATGTATTCGATAGTGGACATCACGCGCATTTGATTAACTTGACAAATCTTCAGCGGATTCAGACTCAAAACTAGAATTTTGTAAAGTGGCCTCCTCCAGGGATCATTGTTGGTCGCCCTGACCCTCGCTCTAGCGCCGCAGGTTAAAGAAAATGTGCTTGAACCAAGCTCTCGCGCCGCAGGCCAAAGTTGGGTCCTTGACCCAGGTTCTGGCGCCGCAGGCCAGATCCTGGGGAAAAACCAGTAATTAGCGCCGCAGGCTCAAAGATTCTAGCGCAACGCTGGCTCTGACGCCGCAAGCCAAGGGATGGCTGCTTGGTTCAGGTTAAGAAGGTATCCAAATTCTTGGTTCCTGGACGGGGTTCAGTGGGAAAAGGGCCGCGAAGCGGTCTTTTCCTACTGTTAGTTGATAAACCATTTTATACATGGCAATAATGTCTTTAGGGGGACGGATAATTTCTACCCGCAGTTTCTCCTGACGGGTGCCTTTACTGTGGAAGTGCCGCCCAAATGTCAGCCGACAATTTCCTTCAAGGGAGGACGTAAGATCCCCGCAAAACTCTAACGCCATCTCAAACCTCAGAAATCATTACTGACGCCCTGGTTATCATCACCGAATGCACGGGAATGCGGCTGGTGGTCGCGCCAGGCTACAACAGTCTTCAAATGTCACCCGGCGACTGGACGCCGATGGCCCTCACTTGGAGCTGTAGTAGGTTTCGAGTTCGACTTTGCTAATATAATATTACTTGAGATTCCAATCTTAAGTCCCTTCAGGCCCAGCGGTGAATATGACGTTTGAACTGGTTGACCTACTCGATTCCGTGCTCACCGTGACGATCGAAACAGAGAATGTTACTGTAGAAAGGTACCTTAGCTCGCATCGAGATCAAAGTGCCTCTAGAAATTATACCTCAAAAGAGACCACACGAGACCTCCTCAACTTCACGTCGGTTTCAACAATTAGCGTAAGATCATTTGTAATTGGATACCTAAAAATTCTATATTTCCAGATGGTTTATGACGGGATGCACCGAAACAACTTAACCATACACTATGGTTATTTTGTCAAACTATATTTTCGAAACGATTTGGAAGATGCATCCACCCAGACAACAACCGTTTGTCATGCCATCTCTTCTTTTCGTTTGTGTAGTTGGATAGTTGGCTTTATATTACAGCTTACCTTAAACCATTTTGCTTACCAATGAAAATAAACTCGTTGCATGGGTCGGTCACCTGTTGTGGCCCGGAAGCAAAAAATTCGCGCTTCCTGGGATTGAACCTACTGGCCAAAAACGAAAGAGAACACATAAGGTGCTCTATGATCCATTTGTTATACCGGCACCGTTGCGCTATGGCTACTACTTACGAGTGAATTTCACCGACCGGATAGCTACGACACTGTACCCGTTGGTGACTTCCAAGGTGTCCAAGAAGACGGGCAGCTCGTCAGCAGAATATTCTTTGAGGCAGTGCTGTCTATGATAATGATGCTCTCATGTTTATTCGTATAATGAAAAACGTTTCGAAACTCAATGCGGATCTGTTGCTAACCGGCTTACGACCTTAAGAAGCTAAAGAAGTTAAGGCACATTAAAAAGGCATAAATATACAACCGTAGGTTGCCAAAATATGTTGAAAAATCTTGGAAAACGCGAGTTCCGAATAGGCGGTTCCCGACCATTTTGTTTGGGAATAGCCTAGCTCGTAGCTCGAACTCATAAAAAAATACCTTTGGATGGACATGGCCTCAATGGCCAACTTTCGAAATGCTAAAACGCATTGCATGATTTTAACTTACTTTTTACTCCAAAAAGCGAAGCCACGAATTTGCGATACGGCGTCGTTAAGTAGACGATTTCCAGTGATGATATGATAGCGTGGCAGCCATTGCAAACGAAAACAAGCCACAGAAGATCTAGTTTTCCTTAATTTTCTGGTCTATTATAATAGCCAACCGAGTGGAACCTCGAGGCTGAGCCGAATAATACACCTCCACAACACCAAGGTATCACCAGGGTTAGGTGGGGGACGAGGAGCTCTAATGAATTTATAAGCTAATTAGATAAATTTCCTATCCGGATAGGTAATTAATAAATAAAAATACCTGAAACAACATGTTTTAATCAACTTTTTTCTGCATCTCTCTCGTGGCCTTGCTCATATTACCCGAATTCCCGTTTAATAAATAGAAGCTGTGGCCGACTAGAAAAACCACCTAAAATCTAAAAATTTGAAAATGCCATATCTACCCACCAAGATAAACCAAGTGAGGATTGTTACGCAAATCATGGCAAAATACGCGTATCCCCCGGAAAAGGTGGCTGTGTGGAAGGCATCTGCAGTGGAATCGCCCACCCATACGTCGGGCAAGGTTTTTAGGAATTGCCAATTGGGGAATTCCTGCAATTCGTTGGTATATACATCGAAAAAACTAATACGTACGTCTAAAGTGAGCTTCAGTCTAGGGCCCTTCACATCTTGTGTAAAGGCCGCGAGATACCTGACGGTGCTGAGACCTCCGGTTGATAAACAGCATTGGGCGGTAAGGATGAGCACCCATAACCTGGGTGGTAGCCTAAATCGTATAATTAGGACTACGAGATCGGAACTTACTAGAGAAGTCCAAGATACCCGCAACACGGATCGGGCTGAAAATTTGCACAGTTATAGAACCGACCATGCTGATCATCGCCTCGTTTTCCGAATTTGCTACCGAGCTTAAATAATTAAGATAATCAACTTTTAAAATGCACCAAAAACCTGCCACCTGACCCTGGCTCTCTTTTTTTAGGGGCTAAACCCTTAATAAAAGTGTGAAAAGGGGCCCCGCCCAAAGTGTCGCCGGTCCGTAGCTCCGCGTAGTCGGGACCGAATTTTATGATTTATATACTAAATCTGGATTTTTTGCGTTATTTTTTAAGTTAGTTTACGGTTTTAGAGGTCTAAGCATGATTTTATGCAAAAAATCATGTGTTTTTGTGCAAAAAGCAAAAGATATTGTGCAGGGCGGGGTTCGAACCGCCGTCCTGTGCCTGGCAAGCGAACGGCTCACCAATGCAACATGGTGCCAACCGGGAAGGCGGCTTCGGGAGGGTAGATAAGGGGCACAACAATACTTGGGCCTAGGCAGGGAATAGTGGGCCAGCATCCGAATTTATGCCGTTTTCAAGCTTAATTTAGACCCCAAATGACTTTGAACGCGAAGTCCGCAGCAAATTTGGAAAACGGGTGCGGAATCAGCGAAAAATTCTGCACTAGATAGGCATGATCTGATTCTAAAACGCCAGCCTGAGTAAAAACACTTTACAGTCAGTCTGGGCGCAAATTTTAAGGCCAGTCAGAGCCCGGTTCCATTCGAAGTACCCTGGTCAGTGTTATTATGGTAGTGGTGTCATGCTTAATTTTGATTCGCTGAAATATTGGGCCCGGCAGGTGTAGAGGCGGACCACGAGCAAACCCGCAGAAAATCACGAAATCCGAAAGCGTATTTCTTGATGTCTGTGGCTATGACGTTGGCTTCGGCAATTAATTTATTAGCTTTTCCGAGCTTCGCGAAACCGCGGATGCGATTTTGACAGTCGGACGGGTAATGTGCGTCGTCTCGATCCGGAATCCAGCCCCATAGCGGATGTATTGTGTTTTTGGCGCACTCTGTAAAAAATTTGTAATGGTCAAAATAAACTTACGCTCCGAGGCGGAAGATTGACATTACAAATTGTCGATATGGTTTTGTTAGATACACAATCTCAATGGACCCGATGGTTGCGTGGCAGGCGTTGCATAAAAAGAAGAATCTGGGCAATGCTAAAAAATAGAATTACGATAAACGCGAGAGAGGCCGAAAAGTACAGAGATCACAGGGTGTCCCTATAAAAAACGCTCCCTCTAACGCGACAAATAAGTATCGAACCGCAACGATAGTTACACCATTCGAAAGCCCTTGAAACGGCCAGTTTGCAACAATCCGCAAAACCATGTTTTTATTTAAAAGCGCTTCTTCAAAAGCCATTTTGTAAAGTTTTGCGGTTTTTCGAGGTTGCATACGGGCTAATTTGCCTCAAATTCTCCAAGCAAAATGGACGGAAGTAGCCGCCAATTGGATGCGGAGACCGCTACTTAATGTTTTTGAACGCGCTGTAAAATAACGCAGTTCAATAAAAACACGGTTTTGAAGCTTGTTGCAAACTCGCCGTTTCAAGGGCTTCCGAATGGTGTAACTATCATTCCGATCTGATAGTTAGACGGGGAAGTTTTGAAAACCAACCTAAGGGCACTTCCCAATCATAGAATATAATCAAACCATTTGTCGTCCATGGAATGGACATTGTTAAAAAGGGAATAAATAACTAAAAGCAAGAGGTTCCCCAATTTTTGGATTTGCTGACCTGGAGGAACATATTTTTTAGCAGAATCTTGTGCATCCGCCGCGTCGCATCGCTCATATGGCCAAGATGTGAGTTCAGTAAATATAGACTGTGCCCGATGAGGAACCAAGCCTATGAAACCGAACAGTTAGGATGGCTGTGCATGGCATGGCATGGCTAATTTACCACAAAACTATAAGTGATCATGCAAATGCAGAGCAATGAAAAGAAGGCAATCGGCGCGGAAACACCGGACGAATCGAAACTGTCTGCCTTCGCATCGCTAAGCCATATATCAGGAACGCTGCTGAGGAATTGCCAATTTTTATACCGCTAAAAGCCGCTGTGTATCGGGTGCAAGGTATTGCATTGACCTTTAGAATGCCTTGCATTGCCGGACCATCTGTATCTTGTGTGAATACAGCCATACTGTTCATAGCAGTGAAGGCTCCGGTTAGCACCAGATACAGGCAGGCCAGCAACAACGTCCAAAGCCAAGGGGGAAACCTGTGAAAATTAGCTCAGGGTTTACAACGAAGACCTTATATTGTCTAGCCTACCTCACTTAATTTATATAAGGTAGGATAAGCCACTCTCACAGAATTTCCGCACTTCCCAAAAATGCTTGGAAATTACAGGGTTTCCCAACACTACACACAACTCCTAGAGGTATCCAATTTTTACGATTTTGGTATCAATCGAAAGCTTCCGACGAGGCGAGGAGGCTATTTATTATTTATTTATTTATTGACTTTGATTTATTGGACCAAATTTTACCTAGCCCAATGTCCGGCGTGTAATAACTGGCGATGACGATACACAAAACAGCAGGCTACCCCGATTGCCACCATCATTAACAGTGCGCTACCGATAATCTGAAGTCGAGGTTTTGGCAAGAAATTGTTTTCGAAGCCATTTGTTTTTGATGTATGGACTTTTCGATTTCGATCCCTGACTTTTGATCAATAAAAAACCAACGAATCCTACCATATACAAATGTAATTTGAATATTCTCTATCGTATATTAGTAAATGTAATATATATTGTATGTAAATTAATTGTATAATGTTTTCGCTATGAAAATTAGGATCTCGGATCCCTCTTTGTTAGAGGCGATTAGCATGTGTCGGAAGTGGGGGCAACTTCTAAAAGGGGGCAGCGGGCGGTGGCTTTTGAGTTTTTTTCCATAGGGATTCCGGAAACCATATGCAAGTTTTTTGAATGTCATGTGAGAGACGTAGCCAGGTTAAAATGCCGCGAAGCGCTGGTTCAACCCTGATAATTGACTGATCAGGCTTCTGCTGCATCTTTGCTCCGGATATCAAGGTTTTGGCCAGGTGCCAACCATACCATCAAAGCATTTGGACCAAGCCCGCCCAACAACCCGTGAAATCGATAGCACAACGGTGGGATAAACCATTCGGGCACCACCAAATGCAGAAACAGCTCGAAAAGTATGGCACAAACCTGAAAAGATCCTGAGACTCTATTTACCGCTCATACCTGGTAAAAGAATAGAAATTTCGAATACTCCCTCATGGGGCGCGGTGAAGCATATAAAATCAGGGCAGCCGTCCCAAAATTCACCGGCAAACCGACCACGGCGATTAATTTGAAGGCAGTTATATAGGTTGTAGGTGTTTCATATGTGTATGGCGGCATGTCGTTTTGAATTGAATGTTGTGTTTAGGTTGAGGTATGGTGATTGGGCTGTTGTCATTGAGAAAAGTGCCAAACATGTTTCGCAGGTGCAAACGAGACGCGTGTTTTGCGAGTAGGGAACTTGCGAAATGGCCTGAATATGGTTGGCAACCCTTTTTGGATATATTGTGAAGGCTTTCGGTCATCAGATAACGGTTTGGTTGAATCGAGCGCGGTGATGCGCTAAAGCTTTTTCTTTTTCAAGGCGTCCAAAAAATCCTCCAGCGGCTCGGAGATATCCGATTCCAATTTTGATGTTTTTGGGTATCTATCGAAAGCTCTCGGAAAAGCGGGTAAAAAACGCTTTGAGTTAATGAATTTGGGATTTCACTTCACGAATATGCCTAAGCTTAGGCCTAAACCTAAACCTCAGCCATGAAAATGCGGGCGTAGAAATTCACTATTTATTAGGATATTTTGCCTCTGGCAATCAGCGAAATTAAAGCCGGCGGAATTAAGTAAATCAGCGTACCCCTGTAAAGTCTAATGATCCGATCGCGGCGCCGTGCTGACGTGGTTCCCCGACGAGCGAAGACTGACGATCGACACGCTGGTGTCGGGATGTGTCCTGTAAAAATTAGCGTATTGAAAACAGCTTTTTTCATGCTTTTTTGGCCAAAACAGCCCAAGGATAAATTCTCGATATGGTTTGGTGAGGTAAATAATCTCCAGGGAGGATATTATTGCATGACATCCGTTAATGATGAAGAAGAGCTTTGGTACGGCTGAAAGGGACAAAATAGTGATGATGAAATCGGGGGTAACCCTGTGGGACTTCGATATCAAAGCCAATGATGATTCCACCAATCCACCATGGGAAGGTCAATGATATGAAGGGGATGCATAGCTATAAGTATACTTTAGAAATCGTGACCAAGTACCTCTCCTCCCAAAAAAACCACCCCATGGGCATCTGGCCGTATTCGACGCCGAGGTTTAGGCCAGGATTTTGACCCGGCTCCCCAGGAACCCATCTGCTGGCTCCGCCGGTGTGCCCCGGGCAGTCAATGATAACAATTTCGCGCCATCAATGGAAGAGTTCGGTTGTTTGAGGTTTTGTAGAAATTCTTTCGAATTTGGAAAAGAATGTTTTACAACATTTACTATTATCATAATTATACGGTATACAACGCATATTAGCGAGTGATCATGCCCTAAGCGAAGTCTGATATTCTTTTTCAGTCAGCTTATATGAAAATGGAGAGTTTTACAAGACTACCAGAACTATACTCATGAAGCTATTCAGACGGATTTGAGAATCATCCTAAAGACTTAGCAAAGCGCTTCCTTGCACAAACGATGTTTACGGAATTCAGTCATGTCGTTACACGGTATAATATGCAACTCAGAGTCTTCATTTTAACCTGTTTGACCATTTGTGCTAAATTTAATAACAGTATTCGGGAATAATTAAAAATTTACCGCGTTAGAAACAAAAGGGGGTGATGAATATCTGAAACCGTATGTGCTCCTGGTTACATCGTGGTCGCCAATAAGCATATTACAAATTTTTTAGCATGTTTTTTACAAATATACAAGCATTGCCATGAAGCCTCAAATACCCGAACTCCTCTATTAATGGCGCCAATTGTTATCATTGACTACCCCGGGGCACACCGGCGGAGCCAGCAGATGGTTTCCCGGGGAGCCAGGTCAAAAATCCTGGCCTAAACCAGTGGATCCGGCCGTATTACACCCGATCGGTCCCATACATTGCACAGGGTCCCATACTTGACACTGGTGCATATATAACCACAATCCTGAGCTATAGCCCGATCGCTACCGTAGTTTTAGAGTTATCCCCCAAAATAGTATGTTTCCGGCGCCCCCCCCCCCCGGGAATACACCAGAACCTAACTCAGGGCTGTGGTTAATTTCGGTCGGATACACCTATGGTCCAATTCTGGGGCCGATCGGACGTAATAAGGCGAAATACCGGAGATACCCTGTAGATGCGGACGAAACTCTCGTCGCTACAAGCTCACCTGTAGCAACATATTGATGATCAACTGCTTCTGCATTTTTCGCGTTGCAGCGCTCATATGGCCGCAGCGCGAATTGAGCAAATGAAAACTGTGCGCTATTAGACAGACGCCCTACAACCACAAATTTTAGGGGCCTTCCCGACTTACTCCTGTCAAAAAATTGGTGCACATAAAGGTGGTGACCAAGAAAAATGCTGCCACAGGGGAAAACGGGTATTCGACCGTCGAATCTAGCACCCAGAGTTCTGGCACTTCGAGCAGGAAGTGGTGATTTGGATGACTCTGAGCGGATCCAAACGACCGTTGTAAAAATTTAAGTACCTCTAAAATTCGTTGCATACTGGTTCCGGTTTTATCTTGCGTATACACTGTCGTGCTGATCACAATCGATATCCCGCTCGTGCAAATTGTGTAGTCGAATGCAACAATGCACCCCCATAGCCGCGGGGACAACCTGGCAAACACTGATTTTAAGGCGATGGGCAAAGTTTGATGCGCAAAAAGGTTTACAAAAAAAACTTTGATAAAGCCTAGAAACTTTGAAATTTGAACTTTGATAAAAAATATGAAAACTTTGAAGTAATAAAAATCCGAGGTTATGAAGATTCGAGAATAATCTTAGTCATGCAGCTTTGCGTCCCACCTAGCCCAATGGCCAACGGGTAGCACCTGTCAATGTCGATAGATAAAGCAGAACGATACCCCAACAACCATCGACATTATGAGAACGGTACCGCCGATCTGAAGCAAATATTGAGCGCTAAAAAGGACCCCGCGTCGTAAAAAGGTAGCGACGTACCCCTAAAATGTGAATACCCAATCCGGCCAATGGTCCCTTGAAGCTGAAGCAGCTCAGTGGAATGAAAAATTCCGGCACCATGAGGTGAATCCAAAACTCAAAAATGGCCGAGGATAGCTATAATGATATCCTAAAGAAATTTGCGAAAGACCTGGTAGATGAGAAGCAATTTTGAATACTCTCTCATCGACGGAGTACTCGCATGGATAATCAGGGCAGCCGTTCCAAAATTAACGACAACGCCGATGGTGGCCATGCCGGTGAAAACGGCCTTGTAGATCGTTGGGTCTTCATAGGTCGAGTTTATCATAAGTGAAGTTCCTTATACGTATTAACAACACGAAGAAACGGACCGGGCTGATCAATGAAAACAGTTAGCTGCTGTAAGAAGCAGGTGAGATCGGAATAATTTTCGTAATTGCGCAAAACGTGCCTGTTTGTCTGTATTTATTGCTCTTTCATTCTCCCATTCTCTCTATATCTCTATCTCTCTCTCGCTCTCTCTCTCTCTTTCTCTATCTCTTTTTTGCTCTCTCTCCCTCTCTCCCTTTCTCTCTCTCTCCCACTCTGAATCTTGGCTGCGAATCATGGTGAATTAGCGCCCACACAAATGTTCATCCCGCTAGGTAGAGTGCCCGCCAAGATAGAGGCTTCGAAAGTTTTTGGCCCGGGGACGCGATGAACAACCCTGCACCAGACGAATTTCCACATTATTTTTTGTTTTCCCGGCCAGTTTTCCCGTTCTTTTGAGCGCTCAACGGATTTCTTTATTTCAGATCGGCGTTACCGTCCTGTTAATGTCGATGGTTGTTGGGGTATCATTCTGCTTTATCTATCGACATCGACAGATGTTACCCGTTGGCCATTGGGCTAGGTGGGACGCAAAGCTGCTTGACCAAGATTATTCTCGAATTTGCAGAAGCATTTCTAAGCGTAAAGAACGCTTGCCGCTTCATTTTCACTTAATATTCGAATGGTCGATTCTGACGAAAACCTTATGAAAAACGGATCAAAAAGTTTATTTTTGCTATATCTGGAAAACTATTGTAGCTGGCGGGCTATTACTCAGGATTTTGATTATTTAGAGTCCAATACACCTCTGGTCCAAATTCGGGACCGATCCGATGTAATATGGCGAAATGCCGCAGGGGTGCTTTTTTATGGGACACCCTGTATACGGAAACCTAATATTCGGTACAATATTATTTGTGCATAGTCTAGGTAGTTTCCCTAGATTTATTTATTTTCAAAATTAACATAGCACTACAACCCATAGGTCTCTTTCATTGAGCGCGGATTCGTAGTTGAGATTTGGCTGACGTAAAAGATGCTGTGGGCGCGACGGGTGCTAAAAATACATTGATAGGAACTGCAAATTGCAAACGTTTTCGGCTTGAAGAACGAGATTACAAACTGCCGATAGGGTCGCGTCAGGTACACGATTTGTACTGACGACAATATCCCGTGGCATCCGTTCACCAGAAAGAGTATTTTCGGGACAACTGAATTTTTGCTTCATATTAAGGAACAACAACAACGAGGAAACCTAGTGGCAGCTCCACATCAAGGTAGATGATCAGCACGCCGGCTGCCCATGGGATGGTCAGCGTCAGCAGGGGCACCAATAACTAAGGGACTTTTGGATCGAGGTAATCAACTTCAACCATAATAAAAAGATTGTGGTGTCTGTATGTGTGTGTCTGAAGAACTCGTGTCTGTGTCTGTGTCTGTGTCCGAATGAACTCGAAGGGTAAACGAGCTAGAACTTAGGTATCTTCGGCTTCGGATAAAGCGCGCTGAGAAACCCCCTGCTAAAAAAATTTTGAAAAAGTTTTTGTTTAAATTACTAAATTTTACCTGGAAAGTGGCGCCTTAATAAAACGAGTGGGGAACGGAGATTTGCTCGATTTTGGACATAGTGACCCAGGTAGCGCGCGTTTCGGCGTGGGGAGGGAGCACAGGGGGCAGCCCGATCCAAAACTTGAAAATCCAGCGGCATGCCTTCCCCGTTCCGTTAATGCAAAACAGTCGCGTACCCACCTGCAGAAACATATTCACAATCAATTTTCGATGCATGTGGCGTGTGGCTTGGCTCATATGTCCGAGACCGTAATTCAGAAGATATACGCTGTGACCGATTAGCACGCCGGCCTGTAAGTCTGATCCCTACATAGGGCAGGAAATCAAACTGAGATTTTTTAATCTCCTCCTGGGCTCCCAAATCATTGTCCAAGTTGGTAAAATTTAAACGTTTTTTGCGTGAGAACGGAAACGTCCGTCGTTGTCCGTCGTTGAGTATTTACATTTTATGTAAAACCAGCGGGGGAGGAGCCGCTTCGCGACTCTCCCCCGCTGGACCCCGTCTAGGCCCTATGAATCGAGTGCCCTTCCACACCAACTTACCCTGAAGAACGAAAAACTCATCTCTCATGCAAACCTCTTTGTATTGGTATGCGGCGCAAGCTTGAACTGCTAGTCACTTTATTAGGCCTGCGGCGCATGTTTGATCGGCAGGACGCTACCTCATCCTCCGGCCCAAGCTTGAGGGATTAGCTTCCTTTTTTGGCCTGCGGCGCCAGTTTGAGTGGTTTGCTTCGAGATAAAGCCTGCGGCGCAAGTTTGAACGGTAACATCCTTCTTTAAGCCTGTGGCGCTAGCTTGAGCGGCTAGCTTCGTTCTAAAGCCTGCGGCGCTAGCTTGTGGGGCTAGCTTCGTCCTAAAGCCTGCGGCGCTGGCTTGTACGGCTCGCTCCGTTCTAAAGCCTGCGGCGCCAGCTTGTGGGGCCAGCTTCGTTTTAAAGCCTGCGGCGCTAACTTGTGCGGCTAGCTTGGTTCTAAAGCCTGCGGCGCTAACTTGTGCGGCTAGCTTGGTTCTAAGCCTGTGGCGCTAGCTTCTGGGGCTAGCTTCGTTCTAAAGCCTGCGGCGCTAACCTGTGCGGCTAGCTTGGTTCTAAGCCTGTGGCGCTAGCTTCTGGGGCTAGCTTCGTTCTAAAGCCTGCGGCGCTAGCTTGAGCGGCTAGCTTCGTTCTAAAGCCTGCGGCGCTAACTTGTGCGGCTAGCTTGGTTCTAAGCCTGTGGCGCTAGCTTCTGGGGCTAGCTTCGTTCTAAAGCCTGCGGCGCTAGCTTGAGAGGGTAGCTTCATCCTATAGGCTGCGGCGCAGGTTTGAGTGGCTAACTTCATGATAACGTCCCTACACGCAAATCCACTCCGAAACGCACTTTCCGATCAAAAAGCAAAACAACGACGATATCCGAGGATCGAACCTTCGATGGTCAGATCAGCACGACAAAGTGCTAACCACTACACCAGGGAATGCTTGGCAGCACGCGCCATAGATCCTCTTTGGGCATTTACGGGGCAGGGGAAGTAAAAGCATCGAGAGGCAGATCCAAAGAGACGACCAAACTCCCGAGTGCAACTGGCAAGAATGAGAAAATTTGTATTTTTCACATTATGCAAATTAGCCCTCCCAGACCCCAAAAATCAATAAAACCGGCTTTAACTTTGTAAACTTGTATTTTATCGGGATTCTGAAAACGCCATCGGGAAGAGGAGGGTCGATTCACCCGAGTGACGGAGAATTAGGGCATTTTGGCCACGGCAAGGCCCTCAAATCGGGCCTCGAAACTGACCTCCGCACACACACACACACACAAAGATACGCGACCAAATTATATCAGGTAAGATATACTACTTTTTAGCCCCTTCAATTGGAAATTTAAAAGCAAAGAAGAGTCCAAAAATTGCAGAGATCTGCGGTGGAAATTCCCTAATATACTAATTCTGCCCTTATTACTTCCACCTGGCTGACCCACCCCGGCCACAAAATTGGCGCTGGTCAGCATGGCCACGAAAACGAAGCCAAACAATGAGGTAAACGGTAGGAACGCCATTTTGGCGCTCCCGTCCATCAACCACAGGTCGGGCACGTCGAGGAGGAACCGCCAGTTTGGATAGATCTGAATGCGACCGATTTTCCATGAAAAGTGAATGAGTACCCGCAAGAGCAGCTGCATCCTCGGCCCCGCCAAATCCTGGGTGAATACGGCTGGATAAATCACGGCCGATAACCCGCCGACCCACAGCAAATACTCGAAAAGAAGGAAAATGAGCCATAGCCAGGGCGAAACTCTGATTTTAAGAAATTAGCTAACAAGATTCCAAAGTGAAAGTTTGTTCAGGTAATGAGAGACCCCATGTCCAGACCGTTTTTTACGCTGATTCCGAATCTGCCCAGTTTTTGCCCTAGATCTTTAGTTTTTAAGATAAAGGACGTTTTCTGTTGCTTCACGAAAGAGCAGCCAAAACTTTAATAACAAATCACCAGGGTTGAAAAGTCGCTTCGCGACTTTTCAACCCTGGCCCATTCCAACCCTATGATATCCCTCGCTTTGCATAAACCTTCCGCACTTTTATGTCACAGAAATGAAAAAGCGCGTCCTCTCCCCGATTATATAGGCTACTCCCACTTCCGGCGTATGCTAATTTTCTCATAACAAAGAGGGCGTCCGATTTTTAAAGAAAAACTTAATTTTAATGTCGAAAACAAACGATTTTGCAAAATTTGATATGCGTGCAGTCATCTACAGGCCATTACGCGTCTAATGACGTATCATACGCCCCCTTAATCCCTTCCCTTCTTGAGATATCCTCCGGACACGCTGACGGAAGTTGCATGCAAAGTGTCATACACACACACACACACAGACAATATTTTTTTTATATACCAGGGTTGAAAAGCCGCTTCGCGACTTTTCAACCCTGGCCCCGTCCAACCCTATGATATCCCTCGCTTTGCATAATCCTTCCGCACTGTTATGTCAAAAAATGAAAATCGCGTCCGCACCCGGATTATATAGGCTACTCCCACCTCCGGCGTATGCTAATTTTTTCCTAACAAAGAGGGTGTCCGATTTTTAAGGAAAAACTTAATTTTAATGTCGAAAACAATGGATTTTGTAAAATCTGATATGCGTGCAGTCATCTACAGGCCATTACGCGTCTAATGACGTATCATACGCCCCCTTTATCCCTTCCGCTCTTGAGATATCCTTCGGACACGCGGACGGAAGTTGCATGCAAAGTGGCATACACACACACACACACAGACACTATTTTTTTATATATAGTAGGATAGTAGGATCTGTCAAAAACGATGCTGATTCCACTGCAATCAAAAGTAAATTTTTGAACGTGAAAATCTGTGGCAGAAACTGGCTGCAGATTTGGAATTAGCGTAAAGAAAGTCTAGACGTCGATCTCTCATTGCTCAATCAAACTATCACTTAAAGGGGCCCAGAAATGCCAAAAATTGAGTGACGGCCCGAAAATAGGAGGCCTGAACGTCGGAGGCCTCTGTACACCCCGGGGCCCGGGAAGCTCGCAAATTTGAAATTGCCTGTTGTCACCTCGAAATCGCGTTCTCGGCTGTTTCTGGGCCAAATTTGATGCTTAAAACATCAAAGCTATTTAAAATTGAGTGAGGACTTCAAAAATGGACTCAGAATGCGCAAATTATAGTGTTTTCACAAAGAAACCGGGCAAAAAAAGTTTCGCGCAAAAAGCGAATGAGTGAGTGCTCTGGTCCCGCAGCGCCCGCTGGCAATTTGCCAGAAATCAAAGAGCCCTCCCAAAAGGGCTTTGATTTGGCAGTTCGTAGCCCCTTTAAACGTCCCCTTGTAAGTTCTAGAAGACCCCGTCCCGACCTAAATTTTTCAAGAGAATTTTCGAGTGAAATGAATTTCTTGAACGTTTCAAATTAGATTCGTATATATTGGCGGTAAAGTATACCAAAATGTTCATCTTTGTCTAGAGAGTATTGTCTGATACATTTAGTAATTTCTGCGTTACAGGATATGGGCGAGCCAAGATCAACAGACTTGGCAAAAACATTCTTAAATTACCTGAGCCAATGTCCGGCGGTCAAGATCTGACGATGGCGATAAATGAAACAGGCAGCTATGCCAATTACAGTCATCAATAGAAGGCTGGCTCCGATAATCTTAAAAAGGTACCATATTAACGATTATCTTATCTAAATCATTTTTTTGCCCAATTCCGAAGTCCAGAAATTTGCAATCCCTCGAACGCCCGAATCATATGCAAAAAAATGACGAAATTCTGGATTTCGGCCTTATGGTTTTGGTGATTATGATTTTCGACATTAAGATAGCAAAATCGGATATTTGCCATGCTTTTTAACAACTTCGAAGTGACATAAAAATCACAGAATAAATCAATAGCATGTAAGCAACTATGTATGTATTCGTGCCGCAATTTTTTGTGTGCTTGCATTGGTAGTTTGGTAGGCGATTTTTTCTTGGCAGAAGTTAAAACCAACACCCAACACCCTGGGCCCCAAATAGCCGAGGAGTCCGTGGAATTTTATGCACGTCGGCGGGATAAACCATTCCTGGCCGGCCAAATGAAGGAACAGTTCAAAAAGCGCCGAGCTGATCTATAGAATGAAATTTTTGGTTCGAGTACGGCACGTGCACCTGGTAAAAGAATAAAATTCGTGAGTACGATTGCATGGCGGGTGTCGTCACATGCAAAATCAGTGCGGCGGTGCTAAAATTGATCAATAGCCCGACGAGGGCCATTGCGGTGGATAAATTTTTGTATAAGGTTGGATCTTCATAGGTGTATGCTGTCATTATGTTTATCAGCGCGCCAGGGTCGGCAAGGGAATTCAAGTGCAATCACGCAAATCGAGAAACTGTTGTGGATCTTTGCCACAGGTGGAATTGGGCGCGCTATTTCTTTAATTAAGTGACAGGTGTTCGAACGTCCGATACATTTTTGTCTGACTTTTTGGCACTTTATGAGCTTTTAGGAAAGGCGAGCTTGTTTTTGGGCTTTGGTTTACTGGTGATGAGTTCCAAATTATCATCGAAAAAGTAAAAAAAGCTTTTGTAAAACTAACTAATTGTAAGCTTAACTTCAGCCTTTATAAAAAGTAATACTACTTCGCACTTTTCTTCGTACCTTCACTTTTGTAAAAAGAGGTAAGACTCTACTTTACCCTCCCCCACAGCCGAAGGGTCTTAAAGTTTTCGGTATTTACGCCTATTTTGTCGGGATTTTTGCAACGCCATTCGATAGAGCGTCGAAAAATATGCACAGAGCTTAATGGAGCCTACAATAATATAAAATACAAAATTTATATCCAAAAATTTCCGGCTGGGGGGAGGGGTAAGGTAAAGTGTGGCCTAAACAGCAAAGAGTGGATCTTGTCCGCGAGTTTTGCCAAACAACGCAGCTTTGAAAAATGTGACACGGCCGAAAGAACGCTATGAAACTAATGTCTGATTAAATTGTTTAGACATCAGGGCTTACAAAGCTGAAAAAAATTATTTAAACACGGAATTGAAACGTTCCGTTTTTTTCGTTATCAAAAATCCCGATTTTTTTTGTTAAAAACGCATTTTTAGGCATCATTGAGCCGTCTCGGATTTTATTTTAACTGTAGCTACTCGCGTGTTGGCTGTTTTGCCAACGAAAGCAAAGCACGCTCATTTTTGGACCTTATTTTGCGGTTTGCCAGGTTTTCTTCAGTGTCTTACGCGATTATGGTTTTTGGATGCCCTATCATCTGTTCGTAAATCACCTGTTCGAAAAATTTGCATATGGAATTGCCTCGAAATCGTATCAAAATGCCTATTTTCGAACACACGGTTTTCGAACGTATGATTTTCAACCTGTTTTTCCTTTCATTGCATGTTCCTACCACCCAAAAAATCATATTTTATCCTGTCAGAAGAACTGTGTGTTCAATGACCGCGCATCGAGCACAAAGAAACAAAGAAAAAAAGAAAAAATACGCAATGGTCGAGGGGGCTATTATAGGGGGGCTCTGTCTGCAAATAGTGGTACTTGGAATCATGTTCGGGATCACACAGAAACGTAGCAAATTCGGTAAAACTCCAAAAAAAACGGACGGCAAAATAAAAAATAAATTGGAATACCAAAAAACGGCAATCAAAGGACGAGAAACGAGTTGGTGAATATGATAATCTGAGTAATATGGGCACAACATGCAATAAAGTCGAATTTTAGGGTCTCACAAGAAAAAACAACCAGAAAACGGGAAGATACATCATTTTTAAATGCACAACTTGCAAGCTATCGGGTCAATGGTACTAGAAAGTAGGGTGGTGGCTTTGTATTGGTAGTGATAATGCAAATAGGTATAGAGAATTTAATATAAGCAATTTAATCCTCATCGGTGGCTATCCGGAGTCGCTTCTCCGGGGGGCTGGACTGACCCGAGTGGTTTGAGTCGAGGTCGTCCCTCACCTCGATTCGATCTGAAAAAATAAATGGATGTTTTGTAAAATATTATATTTTACTGATTTTTCCATAAAATATAGATTTCAAAGCCACTTTATCCTGTAATAACCTTATGGGAATACCTAAATTTTCATTCTTCTAGTCAAATTAGATCCATTATATTAAAGAGCGATTGTTTTTCCTTTTTAGTAATGAGGTATACACTTATTAATAAGGCTCCCAAAGGTAGAGACACACGGTTTAATTTAGATGAATTGAATTAGGGGCAACGGTTTACTTTACCCCCCCCCCGCTGGAACTTTTTTATTTTACATTATTGTGGGCTCAACTTGACATTCTTAGTATATTTTTTGACGTTCTATCGAATGGTTTTTCAAAAATCCCGATAAAATAGGCGAAAATATCGAAAACTTTGAGACCCTTCGGCTGTGGGGGTGGGGGGATTAAAGCAAACCCTTACCGAATTCAAGCATTAAGTTCAATGGCTTGATTTGGCACTAACTTCATTAAAGAGCTTACAAAAAAATCTACTCATCTAGTTGCAAGCTTATCCAACACCAAGTTCAAATCAATAAACAGCTATAATGGGCGCCTTAAAAGGTATCCGAAACTCACCATCAACAACCAGATCCCTTTTCTCAGGCGTCGAGCGGGTTTCCGTTTTCGGCTCGATGGTCGCATCATTGGGCCCTCGGCTAAAGAATTAATATAAATAATTTACAAAATTAATGGTCATTACAAAATTGATTACATAATTTTCATTGACAAATCCTTGTAAAACCTACTTAATTCCCAACGGAGCCATCGAAACAGCAGGGTTCCTGTCCGTGGGGCTACCATTTGCGGACGTTGCGGATGCATGAGCTCCTGAAAGGTGTGCGTTAGGATAATAACTAGTGGTTGTTTTTCATATTCTAGACAGTGCCAAGGATACCGTACCATCAGGAGAGCTCGTCGTGGCGTCTTTGTACTCCAGCTGGTTCTCAAGCTGTTTGCGGGCCGACTGGAAGATTGGGTCAATGGGGCGTGAGGCGTAGTCGATCTGAAACAAAAGTGATTGAAATCATTTTTTTAAATTATGTTAAGTCTATGGTTTTATATACCTTTATACATTAACTGCATTAAAAATATACATCCTTGAAAAAGACTCACCGGCCGTCCACTCGGGTCAAACGTCAAGCCCATGCCGTTGGATTGAAGTTGGTTCTTCACTTTTCCGATGCAGGTATTTAGGTAGGACATCATCAGAATTGGGGCTAGCTGAAAATATATTGATTTTAAAACATACCAGGGTTGAAAAGCCGCTTCGCGACTTTTCAACCCTGGCCCCGTCTGATCCCATGATATTCTTCACTTTGCATAATTCTCGCGATTTTCTATGACAAAAAAATGAGAAACGCCAGCTCCCTTCTCTTATATAAGCTTCCGCAACTTCCGGCGTATGCTAATTGTTTCCTAACAAAGAGGTTGTTCGATTTTTCAACAAAAAGCTTAATTTTAACGACGAAAACAGCAAATTTTTGAAAATTTTATGAGTGTGCAGTCATCCCAAGGCCATTACGCACCTAATGACGTATAAAACATACCCCTTCCTACTCCCCTTATTGAGATACTGCTGGAACACGCTGACGGAAGTTGCATGCAAATGCACACACATACATACATACACACACACACAGGAACTATTTTTTTATATATAGTAGGATTCTGCATTAATTTTCGGCACTATTTCTGCAATATCGTCGTTAATACGTCATTGGGCCTCCTGTATCCAAAAAGTAGCTGAACTTACAGCTGGTTGTCCATCCTCCTCATTTTGTTGAGGCTTTGCCTCCCCATTTTCCGGATTATTTGGCGATCCATTAGAGTTCGATGATGATGGCGCTGTCGCATCGATCCGAGCATCAGACTGCGGACGTCGGATCCCGATGGCGAGGCTAAAGCTTGAAAATTGGGTCACCCGAAGCTATTCCTACCTATTCCCTTCATTCTGGTTCTTGAACGCCTCGGTGAAGTGGCGCTCGGAGACCTGGATGAGGTTGGGCGAGGCGTTGACGTCCTCGACGGCGACGCTGCCGCTGTGGGCGGTCGCGGGGCGGCTCAGCTGCTGCAGAAACTGTTTCGTTAAAAAGGGGGGTAAGTAGGTGATAACAAAAATGAAAGTGGCGTGAACTGTTTGAACTTGTCGCTGCCAAGATTCTTCTATTCAAACGCCGACAATGTCTCAAAATGTCGATAAGCCCAAATTCAGACTGTAAAGAAGCCCATACGCCGAATTTAGGACCGTCAAAATGCCGACAAGCCGAATTTCCGACTTTTAAATACCGACAAGCTCAGACTGCGCAAAAGACTGTTGAATTTCAAAGATGCTGACTGGTAAAATACCGACAAGTCGAAATCCGGACTCCAAAAATAACGACAAGCCAAAATTTCGGTGGTTCTCAAAATGCCGACAAGGCGATCGCGAAAATGCCGACAGCGAGAGTTCAGAAGGCTAACTTTGCGGGTCGGGATTTTGGCTGGCGGCAATCTGACTGTCGGCTTGTTGTGGTTTTGTAGTTGTCGTTTTTGTGTGCGTATTGGTGGGTTAATGGAGTCCGACTCTCCCTAAAACAGCGACCAACCTGCAACGGGGTGCTGCGCTGGCTGAGGGCGGCGGCCGAAGCGGCACTGATCGGAATGCCTCCAAGAATGGCTGCCGCCGACAATTTCCTCATATTTTCTTGAGCGACGTGGGCAGCAGCCTGGTGAGCAGCGACAAGGGCCTGGTTCTGCGCCTGTGAGAATTGCTGCTGCTGCTGGAGCTGAAATATCGTCTTAAAGGGTGCGTGGCTGTGGCCCTTGGCTGAGGGCAAACGAGTGCCCGCGAAATTTGATTCTGCGGGTTCGTGACTATACTAGAAAATTAGGGTACCGCCCATTAAATTTTTATAGATTAGTTAATTGCAGATTAAAGCCTTACTGATCTATTGAATTTAGTACGTTGTACAAAAATATTCACAAAACATTTGTAGTAAAATTACCTTAAATTAGAGATACTACTTACCTTAAAACATAAGTAATCCTAACATGTCAAATAAATGTAGGACGTTTTTATGATATTAACAAAATTATTCTAGTCACATAGTAATTTGAATTTAATAAAAAACAAAAGGCCATAAAATTTTTCGACTTCTGTTATAGAAAATTTTGGTTAGATGCGTTAAAAACAATTGGGTTTCTACCCTCAAGAAGGCAGTATATTAATGGCTATAAAACAGTAATTTCTACAAGCTTTACAAAGTCTTCAAAACATAGAACCATTTTTCTCACCTGCAACAACCGCATGGTGTTCATCGGGCTCGGTGCGGGGTCCACGGGAACTGGCGGGCGCGGTGAAATTGCGTCAGCGGTTTGCTTCAAGATTTGCTAAAAATTGCCCAATTATCGTAGGCCACAAATTACAGTACCTCAGCATTCAGGCGAAAGCTAGCGGGAAGACCAGCGGGAGCCGGAGCAGGGGCTGGGATCGGCCCACCAGCACCTGCCCCTCCCTGCTGCAGCATTTGCATCCGGAAAGCGTCCAGGTTGCCGAGGGCGCGGTTGTTGGCGGCTGAACATTAATTTGTACATAGTTCTCAAGCCATTAAGGTCATTAAAAATACACCTAATGAAGAAAAGAGACTTTTAGTACACGTTTCCACTAAAAACTCACGATTCTGTGCGGCTTGCAGAGCCTGATGAAGCAGGAGAGCTTCCAAGCTTCCCGGCTTTGGCGCGGTGGCTGGGACTTGAGGCTTGGCCATCTGAAAACAAAAAAAAAATCAATTTTTGTGAATTTTTATAGAGTTTTGGGTCTTTCAGGTACATCCTGGTATATCCGACATTTCCGCCGGGCTCAAACCTGCCGGGAATTTGGCTAGCTTTGTGTATTCAGCCGTTTTTTTTTTGATGACTGGGGCGGAAGCGGATGTTCGATCGGATATTACGGATACGTGAGTTGTCTAATCTGGGACTTGATCTGGCTGAACCCCAAAATGGAACGGCTTCTAAGAAAAGCCTAAGCCCCAGCCATAGGCCTAGTCTCAGCCTGAGCGCAAGCTCAAGCCCAAGCAAGCCCAAGCTAACCTACAAGAAAGCTCATGCTCAGAAAACCCGACTCACCTGTGGGGCACCAGTAATCGAATGGCTGGTGACGGGGTCAATTTGCGGCACCGGTGGTTGTCGGGCAGCGAGCTGAAGCTGCTGGGCTTGAGCCTGGGCCTGAGCGAGTAGGTTTTGTTGTTGTTGTCTAAAAATTCACTTTAGTAATTTTTGTGATACTTTAGGAGGTCAAATTAAGGCACCGGGTCATTTTTATCTGCAACGAAGTCGATCACTTACCTCAAAAGCGGGTTCTGGGGTAACAACCCGGCCAAGGCGTTCAGCTGCTGCTCGCTGAGGGAGCCGGCCTGGCTTTGGGCCATCTGAAAATGGGCTGTTATAGTTGGGTAAAGTATCTTTTCGATGTTGTTTTAGTTATCGACCGCCACTTACATGCAGTTGAACACCGCTGAGCGGCTGGGCCTGGGATTGCGGAGTGGAGGTAGGAGTCTGATTTGTAAGAGCATTCTGAGGAGTTCCTGGTGGGACCATAGGAGCAGGAGGTGCCGAAGCGCTGGCTTGAGCTGGAACAGGTATATTTGATAACGTCATAGCATCCCAAATTTCCATACAAATTTAGAGTTGAGTTGTTTTACCTGTGCTCTGCTGCTGCTGGGGCAAGTGCTGGTTGAGGTGCTGGTTGAGGAGGACGACCCGGGATTGCTGTACTCCAAGGTTGAAGAAGAAGCTGAAAAAAGGGGGTAATTGTCTTGCAGGTTTTCGTTGGTCATGTTTTATGTGGCAAAAAACTTAGATTTTATAACCTTTTGTAAGATTATGTAAAACCTTAAATAAATTTTTGAAAAAATATTTTATTGGATTTTCTATTGATTTTTTTTCCGGGAGCCTCCTATTTGACACGCAACGCGAGCCACCCCGTTACGTTAGGTTAGACCAAATCGATCACGCTATGTAATGGCGCGCGACAGGTGCGTTGCGTGTCGCGGGCGCCGGAAATACTATAGAAAGTCGATGGTCAAAATATTTATAGTGATTCTCAGGCACTGTACAACTCCTAACGTTTTTTAAAAATCGTGTTAAATTCTCCAAAAATCTCACCGAAGCGTGGCGACATCATTGAGCGGCAGGTCTGATCCGGTGGCCTGTTCTGATGGTGGGACATCCAAATTCACACCCTTATAAGCCTGAATATCGAAAAACGGCACGTTGACGGCCGGCTGCTGGATGGGCCAGGGCAGATATGGGTGGTCGCCCGTCTGAAAACTCATCGTTCAAACTGAATGGACACCACAACACTGTTCACAGCCTGGCCTTTAGGATTGGTTCTCTGGTTGAGACTGAGGTTTTGGACATGTTTAATTCAGATATTGAGACGAGTTCACTCCACTCACGGATCGCCGATTTTGGAGGTGGGGATTTGTGGTTTGAGGGGCAAATTTTAGCAACGATCTCTGTATGAAGGAGGGGGAAGGTGAGGATGATGCTGGATTTGATGATTTTGGAGAAAATTCGGTTTTGGGGTCGTTGCGCTGTATTATAAACGGTTAATGGCGGTATGCAAGATTGAGCAGACGAATTTTGCCAACAATAAGCGGGATCCTGTTATTAGCAAAAAGATAAAATTTTGGATGAGCATGGGTTGCTTATCTGATAGAGCTAAAAATTGAACAAACTACACCCTTTCGAAGATTGAAAATTGGCAACAAGGGGATGTGGAAAAACAGAATGCCGAAATGGATTGTGGCAAAAATCATCTAGTGGAAATTCGGTTTGTCGAGGTAATTTTTCAAATTTCACTTTGTCGGAGTTTCGTTTGCCGAAATTTTAATACGCTGGAATTTCAGGTTTCTAAGTGCCCGAGTTCAACAAATTTCGAAAAATGGAAGTTTGTCGTACTGGTTTTCGGCAACGTGAAATTCCCAGAAAATTAAATTTCTTAAACTTCGACAAATGGAATTTTGACATACCATAGGAAATCCTGCCCCACTACGTTAAAATTTCGAAAACGAGTACCACGAGACAACAGCAAATCCAAAACCGTTACCGCAGCCAAAAACCAACTTTTAAAATATTACTGACATGTGTATGGATCATCGGGTTGCCGGCCGCGGAAGAAGCGGAAGGAGCGGCTGCGGCGGCAGCGGCGGCCAACGCCGCCTGCGAGGGCTGCATGAACAACGGCAAGCCGCCGGCCTGAAATTGGAATATATGGGGGTATTGCGACATAATGCCCATCCACTCTCCTATGCTCCCGATCTACTAACCATTTGCGGGTATGCGCCGCTGTGCGACGGGAAGTACGCCTCAAAGCCCCTTTGCGGTTGGGTTTGGTTAGTTTGCGGTGAGGGTAGGAGGAGGAGAATCCTCTGGAGCCGTAGGGTTCCCCTGAGGCGGACGGTGTTCGGGCCGTCGGGCAAGAGCGCTCGAAAAACTGTCAAAGAATAGGAGTGGCGCGTACGGTGGTGCATGCAGTGTGTTTTTAAAAATTTACTGGGGAACGAGCTTTTCAGAGGGTACAACGCTAGGGTAAGTTGGGATAGGTAATGCTTATTACGTGGGCACATCATAGCAATCAATTCAGAAACTTAGAGCTGAGAGGTTAAAGCTGTGTACGAGTTGGAAGGTCGTTAAGAGGATCAGGAAATCTTGGGATAACAGGTTCCGGGTTGTCTAAGCCGAAGTCTGAGTCTAAGCCTGCGCCTAAGCCCAAGCATAAGCTTATGCCTACGCCTAACCCTAAGTTTAACCTACGCCCAAGCCCAGGAAAGCCGATGTCGACGCATTCGTCTAATCCTAAGCCTGCGCCTAAGCTTGTGCAACCCCAAACCAAGCTGGCTTCGTATTTGAAGGCCCCAATGGCTTTTATTACGTATTGTAAAAGGTTCTGGACATAGCCTCCAGTAGTAGATAAGTATTCAAAGCTAGGCCCACGCCATTTTTCCAGCCAAAACCCTCCCTACCTGACTTGTCGCCGCCGCCGAGTTGAGGGCATTCTGGTGATTCTGCTGCGCGGCCGCCAGTTGCTGCGAGAAGGTCATCGGCGAAGCCTGTAATCGCTGGGCTCGGTTACGGTACCCGGTCGGCATTTTGGGGATTTGTGTCCGCTTTTTGGTGACGTGCTACCCGCATCGCGTTTCCCCCTCCAAAGTTCGATCGCACGCCGCAATAACGAGCGCGTTTTTTTTTGTGGAGGAATTTTTCGGGGCGGGCTGGGAATATTTTTACAGACTCACTTGATGCGCAGCTGCAAAGGCGGCCTGCTGGGCGGCGACGGCTTGAGCTTGGGCCTGGAAAAGGGCAGTACAAACGTGAAAAAGGTATGCTTAATGCTAGACGTTGGATATTTGGTTTAATGGCATCAATAGCTAAAAAATAACGACAATTTTTTAAGTCTAAAATTATCGCCAAAAATTACACTTTTATAATTTATAAAAAATAATTCACCTTTTGCCTCACCTGAGCCTGTGCCTGGGCTTGGGCGGCTTGGTTCTGGGCGTGGGCGTGGGCGGCCTGGGCTTGAGCTTGGGCCTGAGCTTGCGCCTGGGCTTGAGCTTGAGCTTGGGCTTGGGCTTGAGCCTGAGCCTGAGCTTGGGCTTGGGCTTGAGCCTGAGCTTGGGCTTGGGCCTGGGCTTGGGCTTGCTGGAGAGCGGAGTGCTGCTGGAGGACGGAGAGCTGGGCAGCGTTCATTCCTGGAAAAATAGTGTAATCGAAGGTTCTTGATCCAGAAAAAGTGAGAAATTAGGCCCACGCCTAAGCCCAAAGCTAAGACTAAGACTAAGTCTCCTAAGCTGAAGCTCCTGTTTCCACAGCAAAACTCGAAAAACTTGAAAAATTATAATTTAACAGGAAAGTCCGAGCCACACCAAATGACATCTCCCGTACTTTATATACCCTTTCTGGAAGATATGCCCAAAACACAAAATGTTCAAGAAACCCATGGACAAGTCAAAAACACTTGTGCCCGTTGTCTGAAAGCTCTCAAAAATCAGCTAATTCCCCGGTGGCCCCGAGGGTAAAATAAATCCGGCCCAACCCTGGAAACGCCTTATTGAATCTGGTACATTCGACAAATCCCTCTTGGGGTCGATTTTTCATCCGGTAGCCAAATCCGGTGAAGGCCGGAATTCCGGGGACGGATTAGTGTTTCGGCCTAGGGGTACACCTAGGACGAAGCGTGCGTTCCGAGAAGTTTGAAACCCCAAAAAGCGTGCTCTGTCGGGGTTCCGGGAAATTCTATCTCAGCGTCGAAGGCTTAACACGTGGAAAGATCGGTTTTTGGTGTGTGTGTGCACGAGACGAACTCGGTACGGTATTTCACGTGGGCTCGAGGCTACCACCTTTTTGCATCGAGAGCAGGGCCGGCAGGTGTAAATTGGTAGTTCGGGGAATGATTCCAGGCGAAATGAGCTCGTCTACTTGTGATATCAGATTACATGGCCGTGGGAGGCAGGTTAGGGATGTTGATGGGCGCTTTTGGAAAATAGCCAAGCCAAAGGACTAAATTAAGTCTTCAATAAGTGCTTTAAGTAATTGAAAAACAGCCAAAGGTTGCTTTCTGAGGTTTTAGCTGATTTTTTTACACTTCCAATCCCCTTTAATTTCGTTTTTAGTTCTGAAGCGCTATTCTTTATTTTCGGCATTTTGCCAAACATATTCCCCGAAAATGAAATAGCCCCGGAATCCAAATAAATCCAGGAAAAACACCCAAAAAAAGCAGCTGATTCTCCGTTCTTCATTTTTTACACTTCGAAGTCCCTTTAATCTATTTTTGAATTCGTAAGCACCAATTTCCGTTTTTGGTTCCCTGCCGATCATATTCTCCGACCAGGAAATCCGAAAAAATAACCGGTAGTTACCTAATTTTAGCACACTAATGAAATCCCCGCGGGCGAAATTGACCCCCAACGCCGGCGGCTAATAGAAAATGTACAACAATCCCGTTGCAGCTGCCCGGCTTGCAAAGTTAATTGCTAAAAACCTAATCACCCCCCTGAATAGGCGCAATGTGGAGAGTTGTTGATGTCGGGTATGGGCGGAAAAAACACGCTACAGGAGGGTGAAGACTAATGAAAAAATCTGGGGCGCCTATGATCTTTGGGCAAGAAGAGATTTGGTAAGACTAGATTTTCGGGGTTGCATTCGTAAATTGGCGTCTTTGAGGGTAACAACTGGGTGGAAAAAATCGTTAATAAGATGTTGACGCCCACTCGAATTCAAGCAGATGCTTGAAAGTGCTAATTTCAAGTTAACTCTCGATTTTCCGGAAGCAGGCCCATAAAATACGTTAGAAAACGAGCTAAAGGCCCTTTGTCGGGTCAATTTGTGCGCTTGTTTTGGCCAAAAAGAATTTTCCGCTTTTTGGGGCTCAATTTGGTGTCTCGCTCCCCTTAAAATGATTCATCTCACCTGATAGGGCGCTGGGGGTTGAGCTGGATCAACTGCTGGGACAGCATGGCTGCGGTTTGCTGCTGCTGCGAGTGCTGCTGCTGGGCGTCTGCGGCACTTTGGCCACCCAACACTCCGCCGCCGAGTCCGAGCAGTGCGCCTGCAAAAAAAGAAATTGAGATAATATTTCATAAAGTTTAACGTTAAATTTATCAAAAACGTGCCAAAATGAAACGAGAGAGAGAGATAGATAGAGAGAGCGAGAAAGACAGAGGGAGAGCGAGAGCCAGAGAGTGGAGAATATACACTCAAACAGTGTAATGGCAAGACCCAAGTCACAAAACGTTCAGCACCGACCGCCTGATCTTGCGACGGACCAAAACCGTCCAAATGAATTGCAGCCCTCTGCCACCTATTTCTGATTGGACAGCTGGAATAAACAGCTGCCACCCGCAGGTGAAGCCCTTCCCGCCGCCGCCGAAAAATCGCGCACAATTAGAAGCCCAGCGCGGGTTCCAAAAACGTACTCCGTCGTGGATCATTAGTGCGTTCTCTATGGGAGACCAAGTCCAAAAATGGAAACGTCTAATTAATGTTGGAGGGAGTTGCACATCGTCGGCGAGTATAATTAATGCTGGAAAGACGAGGGGAGTTGAAAAAATTATGCAGAGTGGGGCATTTGCACGTATAATGTGATGAGTTGGCACATCGGATTAACGGTGAGGAAAGTTCAGTAGGGTAGAGAGAGCGAGAGATAGAGAGAGAAAGAAGAAAGAGTGAAAGAGAGAGAGAGAGAGAGAGAGAGAGAGAGAGAAAGAACAAAAGACAAGAATTCCTCGAAATCAAAATAGTAATTTTATGTCACTTGAAATTCCAATTGACCGCCTGAAACATGGAGCAAAAAGTATTCGAGAGTTTGTAAAGGTAATTTTGGATTTTTCGCTCTTTAGAGATCTCTAGAAAAAGCCGCTCTCTCTCTATCGATGGTCCAAAGCGATTCACTCAATAACCTTTACCACTTCCAAAAAACCTAGGAGCCCTTTGCCAAAGGCCACCGACCCAAAAGCCGGAAAACTTGCAAAAACGCGCTCACCGCAATTTTTTTTCCGCTTCACCGGCCCAGAAAACGCAGAAAGCTACGGGACCCGCTTTCCGGCAAAGAAAGAGCACAAAAAACGACTAAAAGAAAAAGGGGTTCAAATTTTCTATTGCGCTCTGCAGCGCACTCCCCTCTTCGCCAGGCAAAATTCCGGGAATGGGCCCTTTTTGGGGCCTTGGGGGAGTTGGGGCCAAAAAAGGGCCCCCGGGGCCGGAAGGGGCAGCAAAGACCAAAATACAAAGCGGCACGCGGGACCTCGACGAGCAAAGTAGAGGCTCTTTCGAAGAAAAGGTTTAGAGCAAAGAACGAGCAGATTCCTTTGGAAAGCCGCTAGCAGCCGGGTGGAAGATTATTTTCGAGTTTTCAGGAATGCAGTGGGGCCTGGTTTTGAAAGGAATTTAAGGAAAAAATAGCGATTTTTTCAAAGGTTAATTATACATTTTAAAACCCAAGTAATGAACGAAAAACTTAATTAATTGCTTTTTGAAAACAAAAATTACGCTTTTAAAGCCGTGCAAGTAAAAATTTAAGGAAAATCTGGATATTTACTTCCTTTGAAAGACAGAATGTAAAGCATATAACGTAAATTTCGTATCTGCAATTTTCAAAACTAATTTAAAATAAAAACCGTCGCTTCTGGCGTCACTCCATTGCGAAATTTAAGGCCTACGCCGTGAAATTTACACCTAAATGTGCTATGAAACTATCGATTTTGGAGAATTTTCCACGTCCAAATTTTGAACTTGGCGCTGCCAAAAATCAATCGGCATCAAAACCAGAGTCAACCCGGAACTGAAAAATAAAATCCGGATGCAGAATAGTGATGCGCTGTAGTCAAAATCCAGCGAGCAATCCCGGAATCTGGCGAAAAGATACTCCCACGAGTGGCCTCAAAGCGTTCGGCGGTTTTCGCACGCAATATTAGTTCGGTTGTGGCGGTTCTTTGGTAAGGAAAGAAGATATTTTCCTGGGGATGCACGTTTTGTGGTTAAATTTGGATAAAAAGGGTGAGAGATATGAGAATCGGAACTTGGTTTTTTTGAGGTTGAATTGAGGTTTATTTGTTAGGTTTTCCGGAAGCTTCCAAGGTTTAGGCTTATGCTTACGCTTACGCTTATGTTAGGCTTAGGCTTACGCTTAAGCGTCGGTCTAGGCTTAGGCTTAAGCACAATTTGGACATAGGCTGAAACTCCCAAAAAACTTCCTTTTCCGCTAGCCGGTCACCATTGCTAATTTTTCCGGAATCGCGCGGAATTGCAGAGCGACCTTTTTCGGGGAGTGCGCCCACCACTCGAGCCCCCGCGGATAAATTATTCCTGCACCGCGCCTGAATTCATTAGCGTCTGCTGCTAGCCACGCGGAGGCCCGGGAGGTCCGGAAAAATACGGAAAAGTCGGCAGGAGCACGAGCCGCGGGAATGAGGGGATCGAAAATGGGGAGGGGATCCAATTTCTCGGAAGCCGTCTGCGGTCTATGTACCGCTACGGGTGTGGTATTTGGTCACGAACGCTGCGAATTGTTATTGATAAACGTAATTTGGTGTTGTTGGGTCGAATTTGGCACTTGCCCAATGGGCAAGCCACTCTGGCTTAGGCTTGAGCTTAAGCTTAGGTTGAGCTTAGGCTTCGACTTAGGCCTGGGCTTAGCCTTAGGCTTGGGGTTAGGCTTAGGTTAAGGCCTATGCAAGCGACAGTACCTTCCCATCACCCATCGGCCAAACACCAAAATCTGGCACCGTATGGCCCTACCATCCCGCCAAGCATATCCGGGGATTAGATGCCAAAAAAAATTCTCCCCTGTCGGCCAGCCCGGAGCGGAGCCGATCGGAATCCAAATCCGGCACTAAGTCATGCAAGTCCCGGCGCATTTCCTGCTCAAGATCGGAAAACTGAGCGGCAAATAAATCCGCGGCCGTTCTCTGGGCACCCGGCCTAAGATGGGCCCGGGAAAACAAAAAAAAACACAGCGGCCCACCGGCGAGGTGAATCTAAAAATGGTAATCCGGGCCCAGGGTTTGAGCCCCGGCGGATTATTATGGAGCATGATATTGAAAACAGGAGCGGCGATTGATTTCTTGGGGTTGTTCGAGTACATAATTTGAGCCTCCCGCGCTCCTCATAGGAAAAAAAAGGGTAATTAGCGAGCGATTAGTGGATGTCTGTTGTGGTACACGATACCGTAGTCGCGTGAGTCAATTTGGTGG